GGGCGGCAGGGTCTGTGACCCTAAGGTCAAACCGCAAGATTTTGAAAAGTGCGTCAGTGAACCGTGCCCTCAGTGGACAGCCAGTCAGTGGAGTGCTGTGAGTGACGTCATTTTACCATCGCCATTCGTTTAGTTCATCATTGGAAATATAGTTCATTATGACATGTCATTTACATCATCGTCCTCATTATTGTTACGTCATCTCCGTCATCATCATCATTTTCATCGTCATCGTTACGTTATCTTTATTCTCCTCCTCATCATCATCATCTCAGTGTTCAGCCTCATGTGGATATGGCGGGAAGTCTCGATCGATCACGTGCCGCAACAAAAACAATGAAGTTGTGGACGAAAGCCTCTGCAACGCTGCTACTAAACCTGTTCATTATGATCGGTGTGTGTGTGTCTGTGTGTGTATGTGTGTGTGTCTGTGTGTGTCTGTGTATCTGTGTGTGTCTGTGCGTGCCTGCGAGAGATATAAATTTCCATGTATTTCTCTCTGTAGTGTAGTTTATTTTATATTTTGACAACCATACCTCGTTCAGCTGTTCAGCGAAACTTTGCGAAACTATGAACCACAGAAGAATTTTAGTAGCCGGCAACCACAACAAATGGAAGCCACAATCGTCGCAACACAGTCCACAAAACAGACACAGGCATTACACGCCCCCTCCATCTTATCCCTACCCCGTTGAGGCACCCCCTACGGATAAAAATTTGCCCAAATCCTGGAGAACCGGTACTTGGACGCAGGTCTGTGTTGTTTGTTTGACCGTGTTTATTCGGTATTTTGTGGCTAGGGATGTAACAATACCGTTATTGCCGGAACGAATTTCGATGCTAGAGAATATCGGTTTTAATTGATCTGTAATATAACTTGCTAATACCGGTACCTATATGAATGATATTTGAAAGTAAGGGTACATCGTTTGCATTCCAAGTTGAGACATGATTGTGACGGTACTACTTACTGAAGAAATTTGAATGCTTGAAAGACATCAAATTAATGTGGTCACATCAAAAAAAAACAAACAAAAAACAACAACTCCACAAAAAACAACAACTCCTACATCCCAATCCTGGACACAGTGCTCCGTAAGCTGTGGGAATGGGACAAAAAAACGATACGTAAGTTGCCGGGACACGCAGGGAAGTATAGAGACGGAAGACAAATGTGCACATCTTGAAATGCCGGCCGCCGTGGAAAGCTGCCACACTGGCGTCTACTGCGGCGAATGGAGATTTGGCGCCTGGAGTGAGGTTTGCTCTTTAGTGTTTGGTTGTAGTTAACCAACAAATCAATCAACCAGTCAATTAATTAATCAATTAATTAATTAATCATTCATTCATTCATTCAATCAACAAATCAATCAACAAATCAATCAACCAATTAACTTACTAATCAATCTCCCAACACGTCCACACAGTGCTCGCAGACGTGTGGCGAGGGCCAAGAAAGTCGCTACGTCGCCTGCGTGATTATCAGCCCGGACGACGAACAAGTGGTCGGTGCCGATGATCAGTGTGATCCCCTCTTGAAACCTCCCAGCGAACAATCCTGTCGGCTGATTCAGTGTTCAACAAACAGCAACAACAAAAACATTATGAATCAGGATGTCTGGCCCAGTCTGATATCAGCTGGCAACCCTTATATATGGATTCCTGGAGAATGGAGTCAGGTATTTCGAGATTTTAGATTGAATTTTTTCTATTTCGACACAAAATTTTTAATATATTTTAAATTTATTTTAATTTACTCAAAACAATTTGTCAAAAAATTCATTTTTAAATTGCCACAAACCAAACTATTCATTTTTCAAAACCATTACTCGTCCAATCACAGTGCTCGCTGACGTGTGGCAGTGGCATACAACAGCGTCACGTGTTCTGCGTCGATCCTCTCAACCAATCATACGACGACGAGTACTGTAGTTCATCCCCCAAGCCACTCGACATCCAATCGTGCAACGAGATTCCATGCCCGCAGTGGGTCTACGGCGATTGGGGGCCGGTTGGTGTTTGGCGATGCCTCAAATTGTTATTTTTATTCTCAAAAATATTATTATTATTGTTATTATTGTTTTTACTGTTGTTGCCACCATCATGATAATCATCTCCGACCGATCACAGTGTGAAGCCACGTGCGGTCCTGGTGTCACCCAACGCCGCGTTCGTTACTGCCAATTCATAAATGGGACAATAGCGTCTTCTCATTACTGCCCACCCAGCCCGGCCAGCATAACCGTGCAGCAGTGCATACTGCCCGAATGCCCACCAACTGGTCATGATTTCAGTCGTCTGCTGTTCGTTGAAAGAGATGGTGGTGGGGGTATTAACGAAGGGGGCGATAGGAGACATCCGTCTGCTGTCGCTGGGCCGAGAAGTAGGGCCCGTGGAAGGCCCAGGTGGTTTAAACAGCCATGGTCACAGGTAAGGGGGAGGTGGGGTCATTGTATGGTGCTGATGATGACGATAGTGATGATGATGATGATTATGTCAATAATGATGATTTTGATGGTGATGATAATGGTGATGATGGTGATGATGATGATGGGTTGATGACGATAGTTATGATAATGATGATGATGATAATGATGATGGTAGTGGCGGTGGTATGGTGCTTAGGAATGCTCGAAGGTAGGTGATGTTAATTTAAGAATTGGTGTTTGTAGAGTAGTTGATTTCAAAAAAATAAGTACATCGTCGTCGTCATCATCATCATCATCACTTCATCATCATCACCCTCCTCCTCCTCATCATCATCATCATTGTCATCGTCATCAATTTAAGTTTAGTATTATTAATGAAAGTTCATTTCTTTAAGGGTAAAAATTTCGGCCACTAACCTATTTTCACTCATTCGTAATATATAATTTAGTTCAATTTACTGTGAATTTATTTTAATATTAATCTAAATATTTATTATTATCATTTATAACGATTATAATTAATTAGTTAATTAATTAAATATATGTGTTAGAATATTATACAAAAAATTTTATTTTTATTACGAAAAATTGTAGGATAATTATAGAAAACCCGAACAATACTTGCAAATGACTGCTTCAAATGACGCAATGCTAATCAATAGCACGTCATCAATGACGTCATCGTCGTCGTCATCTGATGATGATGATGACGACGACGATAACAATGATTTGGTAATAATAAGATGTTGTTGTGGTTTGTTGTTGACGTAATTGCCCATAGTTGTTGTTGTTGTTGTTGTCGTTGATGTTGTTGTTTTGGTTCTGCATGTTGTAGAAGTTGATGTAGTAGTAATAATGTTGTTGATGTTTTTTTTTATACTGTTTGTTAATGAATTTTTATAAAATTAGTGACAAAATAAACGTTATTTGGAGCTTATGATAGCAGCTATTTAGTGGGAGTCTAAAACATGTATGTGCCCAACCTGGTTTATAACATGTTTTTCGTTGTTTAACGATGTTTAAACGCGGTTCACATGTGTGATAATGATTTGTTTGTGAGTTCACTTTTAGTTTGTTGTTGCAATTCTTCAAATACTTTGATGTGTTGTTGAAGTAGTTGTTGATGTTGTTACTGATGTTGTTGTTGATGATGTTGTTACTGATGTTGTTGTTGTTGATGATGTTGTTGTTGTTGTTGTGGATGTTGTTGTTGTTGTTGTTGTGGATGATGTTGTGGATGATGTTGTTGTTGTTGATGTTGTTGTAGATGTATTCCCGGCTTAGTAGAGTAGATAGTATGGTACGAAATCTATTTCTGCTGTTTACTAACCAATAAAAAATGATATTTTTTTACTAACTTTGTCCTGTTAGTTGAAAATTGTTGTAGTAGTAGTAGAAGTAGTTGTTGTTGTTCATGTTGTTGTAGTCACTTTTTATCATCGCAATCATTTTATACACATCATCATCATAGCCATCATCATCATCATCATCATCAACGGTAGCTTCATCGTCGTCATCGTCGTCAGACACAGCAGGATCACTACCATTACATACAACACCGTAATCATTGGTGGCAAATCATCATCATTATCATCATCGCCATCATAATCAGTAGCAACAACGTCATCATCATCTTCATCTTCATCATCATATTTAGCATCTTCATATGTATCATGTCTTCCAAGGAAAGTTCTGTCAATGATAATACTGTTTTATTGTATATTGTAATTGTAATATAATATATTCGCGATGTAATCTATGTATAAACATACATAGCTTTTCCACAAAGGTTTATTATAACAGATTATACCCCTTTATAACAAACATCCTGTTATAATGAACTCTAAATTGTGAAAATCTTCGATTTAACAGAGTTTTTCTTTCATTTTTATTCCTCTTACAATATGAAAGCTTAGTTGTAACGAAGTATATTCGTCTTGTTTGTTAATCTGCATCTTATTTTGTGTATTTCATTTGTATATTAGTGATACAATTTATGTTTTTGCATACATAAAATGTGCTCTTATGTATGTTTTGCAGTAAAACAAGTCCCTCAAAGAGTTGAAAATTATGGAAAAAAATGATTTTACACGGTTTAATCATAAAAATGATTTTAAAGTTTGCCCATTTTTGCGGCTTATTTTTGATAAAATCATTTTTTATCGTGAATTTTTTGATTTTAATCATTGTTCATGTTAACGTTGAATGGTTGAGTTGGTACTCGTTTGGTATGTAGAGAGTTTATGCAAAATGGCTTATACATGTGACCACAAATTTTTTATTTCAATTGATTGCTTGAAAAGGAAATACCATATTTCTTTAGCACCATTGGCTGTTTTTAGTAGTTTGTTTGATCGAATTCATTCGCTCATGTCGTTCATTTATTCGTTCGTTCGTTCGTTCGTTTATTCATTTGTTCGTGTGTTCATTCGCTCGTTTGTTTGTTTGTTCATTCGATCGTTCATTCTTTTAATTAATTTATTGAATTACTCGCTTCGATTTAGTTTTACTCTGTCACCCGTACATTTGTTTATTCATTTAATAATTGCACGTCATTCAATCAATCAGCAGCCATTCATTCATTCATTTGTTCATTCATTCTTCCATTCTTTCATTCGTTCATTCGCTCATTCATTAACAAACTAAATGGACGATCACTTATCCAGTGTTCAGTGACGTGTGGCAACGGAGTGAAAACGCGGAATGTCACGTGCCTGAACGAGGAGACAGGAGAGGAAGAGGAAGGAAAGTGCCGGAAGGATAAACCGGAAGTGTACAAAATTTGTAAGAAACCGAGTTGTTATCTTTGGAGGACCTCAGCTTGGAGCAAGGTTGAATGTGATTGGTTGATGATTGGTGGTGTTGGAAATAAGAAATTCTCAAACTCTCATTCATTCATTCATTCATTCATTCATTCATTCATTCATTCATTCATTCATTCATTCATTCATTCATTCATTCATTCATTCATTCATTCATTCATTCATTCATTCATTCATTCATTCATTCATTCATTCATTCATTCATTCATTCATTCATTCATTCATTCATTCATTCATTCATTCATTCATTCATTCATTTATTCATACATTTAGACAAACAAACACACAACAAACACACGCGCACAAACACACACGCACACGTTCACATACACAACCAGTGTTCAACGACTTGCGGCAAAGGTGAACAAACGCGACAAATAAAATGTTCACACGTGTCGACGAACGAAACGGTAAACAGCCGACTTTGCAAACACGCGAGAAAACCAAAAAATTCGCGCGAATGTAAAGGCAATCCGTTCTGTAGTTCAGTTAGATGGGTCGTTGGCAAGTGGTCGCAGGTTTGTGGAGTTGTGGTTTGTGTGGCTGTGGTTTTCTGTGGCTGCCGTGGTTGCAGTTATTGCTTTTTTGTCGTCTTCCTGTTAATTTCGATGTTGTCACACACACTCACACACACACACACACACACACCACTCAACGCCAACTCACACACACAAACACACGCACATGCAGTGCTCGAAAACTTGCAACAAAGGCTTCCAATCGCGATCAGTGAGGTGCGTAGAGCGCTCTAGCAACAAACAGTTGAGCATTGAAGAGTGCACGCACGCCGAAATGCCTGACGAGAGGAGGGAGTGCAGTGAGAAGGTCTGCCCGTACGTCTGGTTCGCTAGCGACTGGACGCAGGTCTGGTTTATTTTTAAAATTTTCTGTTGATTTGTTCAGACGTAACTATCATCGCCATCACGGTCGTATCGTAAATCCGGACGATTAAAACTAACAATCGGGACATAAAACCACCACGAACTAACAAAGTGATTCTTTGGGGCTATATCAGGAAAAAACTGCGATACTGTCCTGACAGGGGTTGGGCTACTGATGAGACCAAACGAGTACTATTCTTTTCTTCATTTTACTTTAGCACTTCCTGGTTTGGTGTTCTCTAACATTAGCGCAACTGCAACGTCACCATCATTGTCGTGACCACCATCATCGTCATCGTCACCATCATCATCATCGTCATCATCATCACTAACAACCTTACAGTGCTCAACGTCGTGCGGTCCTGGGGTACAGAAACGAACCATTTCCTGTAGGGCAGTGACCATCGAGGGCTGGCTCATCCAGGGCCACCACAACATTACCTACTGCGACCCACAACTGAGACCCCGTATGGAACGCACCTGCATGAACAGGGTCTGCAACGATGGGAAGAATTATCACTGGAAGGCTGAAGACTGGAGGGAGGTTTGCGATTTGCTCTTGCGGGTTTTTTTTAGTATTAACAAATATTCTTTTACGTCATCATCGTCTGCGTTTTCGTCTGCGTTTTCGTCTGCGTCATCGTCTGCGTCATCGTCCTTCTAACAAATCTTTTGAAGTGGTTTTGTTAATGTTATAAACTGCTTATATAGTGCTGGGTGATTATCATTGTCTTATTGTCCGTATCATAATTCTCACTGTCAACATTATTTTCCTTTTTATAATCCTCATCTCTATCACCATCATCATCACCATCATTATCGCCATCATCACCATCATCATCATCATCACCACTATCACCATCATCTTCATAACATGGTGATCTCATCTTCACAACATCTCCATCACCATTATCTTTATAATCATCATCTCCATCACCATCATCTTCATAATCGTCGTCTCTATCGTCATCTTCCTCATCTTCATCTTTATCCCCACTTTGCCATCACCAGTGTTCCGTGACCTGTGGCTCGGGCAGCCAGCAGAGGCGCGTCTACTGCGTGGACAGTAGGGAGGTGCGGGTCACCTCAGAACATTGTAACAGACTCAGTCCCCCTGATATCAATAAGCCCTGCTTCATGCCCCACTGTTAGTGATGACGATGGTGATGGTGGTGATGATGATGGTGGTGATGGTGGTGATGATGGCGATGATGGTGATGATGGTGAGGATAATGATGATGGTGGTGGTTTCAATTGTGACACATTATCATCATCGTCGTCATTATCAAAACCGTCGTCATCTTCGTCATTATTATCGTCGTCATCATCATCATTTTTATCCTTGTAGTCATCATTATCACCATCGTCATCCTTACAATCCCCATCGTCATCACCATCTTCATCATCATCTTCATCACCATCCAGGTTACTCTACATCTTGTTCCCATTTAAAGACAAACTCGCTATCAAGAATTGATGACGATTACGTCATTTCCGTAGGCCAGACGCTAGTTTATGTATGTCTGTGTGTGTGTGTGTGTGTGCGTGCGTGTGTGTGTGTGTGTGTGTGCGCGCGCGTGTGTGTGTTTATGTTGTATGTTCTTTGTTTGCTGGCTAAAATGTTTGATGGCTTACGTTTTTATTGGTTTGTCTTTTTGTTCTGCAATTATGGTTTTGTTTTTGCCTTATGGGGCTTTTCTTTCACCATTATCATTTGAATCACCTTTATCATCGCCATCCTCTTCATTATCATTATCATCATCACTACTACTACTACTACTTCTCCCAGATCTACTGCCACGATATGAATACTGACAATCCCAAAGAATTCATCTCACTTAGCGGAAATCCGGAAGAAAACTTTTCAGAAATCTTCCCCGATCGATTGACCAATCCCGGCGCATGCCCTCGAAATGGCAATCGCTCATTGGCCGGCTGTTCTGATTGCTTACTCCCGACAGCCTATCAGCAATCAGGACTGACAAAGTTCACAAAATTGAGATTGAACATTTCCAGTCTGCAAGTTATTAGTGAGTGTGTTATTAATAATTAATTGGTCAATTATTTAATTAATTATTTAATATTTAATTAAAAACCACAAACACGACCACAGCAAACGACTTTACATTCGCCACAACGAGTGGCTTGAAATCAATCCCGTATGCGACAGCTGGCGACTGTTATAGCAAATCCAACAACTGTGCCCAAGTCTGTAATAATTAAAGTTACCACTGTTATTACTACTACTACTGCAGCTGCGGTTGTTACTACTACTACTGCAGCTGCTGTTGCTACTACTACTACTGCTACTCTGCAACTACTATAACCACTACTGCTACTACTTTCATCATTATTGTTGCATATTCATTGCCGCAAAATTTGCGTTTAAAAACTATTACAATTTTTAGATTTTTCGAACAATAATTGTTGAATATTATCAAAAGAAAATTTGTTTTGGCTTTTATAACTGTTAAAACATTTGAGTTTGAACAAGAGATAGTTGGATACACTTGAATGGCTTGCTCATACTGTTTCTTTAAAAGCTTGGTTTCCATTCTAGAAAAAATAATTTTTGTGTTTTTTGGTACCTTGCAAATGGTGGATCTGTACATCTGTACATCTCTAATATATACTTATACACACGCACACACACACACACACACACACACACACACATAGGGTACTTTTTCAGTGAACCTAGTAGGAACGAGGTTCCACGTGGCACCCTATGAAGATTGGACAGCGTCTGGAAGTCATGTGTTCATTGACGTCCAGAGAAACGCCGTGAGTTATGATAACGATGATGATGTGGTGATGATAATGATGATGATGTGGTGATGATGATGATGAGGATGATGGTGATGATGATGATGATGAGGAGGAGGTTTCATAATTACGATATAATAAGCCCAAATGAGGACTTAATAATATAATATAATTATCACAAAAAATCTGCAGGAAGGTCAGAGAGTTCAAGGTCGTTGTGGGGGTCACTGCGGCAAGTGCTCGCCGGCCCGAAAGAACAGATTGCAACTGAAACTGAACGACGAATGAATGAAAGAATGAATGGATGGATGGGTGAATAGAAGTATGAATGATTGAATAAAAAAAATGAATGAATAAATGAGTGAAAGATAGAATGACATGACTGTGTGTATGTTCGCCGAGAGCATATTTGAAAGAAGAAATACAATAACACTCATATAAATACAAAATACATCAAAAAATGAAAAAACATACACATAGATACAAACCAACACACAAACAAATACCAAAAAAACATACAAAAACCAAACATACATACAAATACCAAACATACATAGATGTATTATGCAAGAAAATTGAACAGCATACGAGCAAGCATTGATACAAAAATGTTTTATATGCACATCTATATACAAACACATTGTATATCAAATGAATAATCTTTTTAAATTATTATAAACTATTTCATTAATAAAATTAATTAATTCTTTAATGACCTTCTATTTATTTTTAATTAAAATTTATTATAAAAATTTTCTTGAATACGTTCTTAGCTATGCTTCATATAATATATGCATATATGTGTAATTTATGTATATGTGTATACACACACGCACACACCACACACACACACACACGCACACACACACACATACATATTTATATATGATGTTATTAGGTATGTTTTAGGCTAGTAATAATATATAATGTATATGATTTGTAGAAAAGATGACGATGAGAGAGTATAATAAGTTGATGAGATCTCCGTTATTATCATCGTCATCATTATCATCATCGTCATCATCATCATTATCATCATCGTCATCATCATCATTATCATCATCGTCGTTCTATACATTACGTGGTTATAATTTACCATAAGCATGTTGGTATATGTATATTAAACTATATGTATGTATGTACACATATTTATTTATTGGATTAAGACTGTTAAAAATGCAATTGTTGATGGGAATCACAGCATGTTCCGCGTTAGTTAGCTTCTTGTTTAATTTTTCAAGTTTTCTAACGGTAGATCGTAAATCATTGTCAAGTTTCTTGAGTTCAAAACCAAAATTGTTTTTTATTTAAACATGATAGAACATTTAAGCATGGTAGAACCGTATCTTTGCAATTTTAACAAAAAATTAACATTGTAGAGACACAATATATATATATTTATATACTGTGTCACCAATTCGAACACCGAAAATGGTATAGGAATAACGAAAGAAGCTTCTCTGTTCTATTTTGCTTAAAGTAAATAACAAATATTATTGTTATTATTATTATCATTATTATTATTTTCATTATTATTATTATCATTATTATTATTATTATTATTATTATTATTATTGTCGTTATATGTTTCATTATTTTTATTAACAGCGCATTTTATGCATCTGTGTTGAACGATTAATTGGCTTTCTATATCTTTTACATCTTCACATATTATACATACGTATGTATATATGCTGAATATATATATATATATATATATATAGTTTTTTGCTTTTTTTAAAACAATGAACGCTAAATAGCCTATTGGTGTTGTAGACAAATATATTTAAATATGTATGAACATACAAATATGTACACACATATATGTATATATATATATATATATATATATATATATATATATATATATATATATATATATATATATATATATATATATATATATATATATATATATATATATATATATATATATATATATATATATATATATATATATATATATATATATATATATATATATATATATATATATATATATATATATATATATGTATTTGTATATGTGTATACTGTACATGTTATTTAATATATTTAATATATTATACTTATATATGAGCTTAGATAGTAGATGTTTACACGCTCACACAGACGCACACACACACAGACGCACACACACGCATGCACACACACACACAAACACACACATATATATATATATATATATTTAGGAGAAGTGTAAAATATAGATAGATCTTAATTTATCGATTTGGCATTTTTGATACATACGTTATTATTATTATTTGTATATATTTGTTAATTTTTCTCTTCATCTTCTTCTTCTTTTTATTATTATTATTTTTGATGTTTTTCATATACGGTTCGTAGCTTTGTAAGCATATAATGGATATACACTGTACAGTGCTGGCAAAAAGTTTAGGACGCACCTGTTTGTTCAGAGTTTATACCCAAATATAACTTATTTTTATTTTAGTTCAACCAAGGATTGCCTAACATTTTTATAACGCTATTTTTGGATAAATAATTTCTAATGAAATTAAATTATGAAAAAACGTTCAAGAGGTTATTTTCTATTGTATGTGAAAGTTCCATAAATATCTCTTCTCTGGATCATTAGTTACACCGGAAAGACGTAATTGTCCTAAACTTTTTACCAGCACTGTATCTCTTCACTATATAAATACTAGTAATAATAATTAATAATAATAATTATTATTATTATTAATTATTCTTATTAATAACATTATTATCATTGTTATTATTGTCGTTATAATCTTGCGATGATAAGGCCTGATTTGATTTTTTGTTTCATTTATTTATCCTTTCGTACATTCGTTCATTCATCAATTGTTCATTTAGTTGGTTTAATCAAGTCATTCATTTATTTGTTTATTCATTCAATCATTCATTCATTCGTTCATTCATTCATTCATTCATTCATTCGTTCGTCCATTCGTTCGTTCATGCATGTAGAATAGTGACTATTATCATTATACATTTAGATTCAATATGTTTTTAATAATTTAGTATATATCGTTGTTTGAATCTGGTCGCTTATAATATAATAACACACACACATACGCACACAACCACACACACACACACACAAACACAAAAACGCATATATGTATTATAATATTATTACGAGATAATTTTTCATAGACCCGCAAAATTATTTTGTTTTTTTTTCTTCGATCAGTTTTTTATTCTTTTATTTATTGGCTTTTTTGAATATTCATTCATCCACTCATTCGTTCGTTCGTGCATTCATTCACTCATTCATGCATTCATTCATTTGATTGATCTTTCTATCCTTAATTCATTTACTTGAATTTGTGATTGTACTATCAAATTTCAAGATAAAAAAATGTATTCGTTTATTTCAAATCAAATGATACACATACTTGTATGTATGTTGGTATTAGTATTTTTGTATGTATATGTGTTTGTTCGTTTGTATGTGTGTATGTATGCATGTGTATGTATGCATGTATGTTGGTATTAGTACGTTTGTATGCATATTTGTTTGTCCGTTTGTGTGTGTGTATGTACGCATGTGTGTATGTATATGTGTTTGTATGTGTGTTTGTATGTCAGTATTAACACATTGAAAACTTACCAAATATCAAAAAATAAAAGAGTAGCTAAAAACTCTTACTGATAACAATAATAATAAAACATTATTATTATTATTATTTATTGATATTATTATTTTTGTTAATAATTCTAAAATGATTGTAAGCTAAAACACGTATATATATATACGTGCTCACTCTATTTGAGACCATCAATACACCAAATGAGACCACTTCAAATATGTTAAAACCTAGAAGAAGAAAAATAACTACGATAAAAACATAATAACAAAAAAATAATAAAAGCAAAAATAATAACAATAATAATAATAATAATAAGTCTTTACTGAAATGAATAGCAGTAATTTTCGAAACATTTTCATCGTTTGACGTTCAACAGAAATATAAAATGAATACTTAGAAAAAAAAAATCAGATCGTCATCAATCATTCCGTTGTTGTTTTTAATTTTGATTGAAAATTCTAGAAAAACATTATGTGAACGGACGAATGAATGGATGAATGGATGAATGAATGAATGAATGAATGTTTGTATGAATGGATGAATGAATCGGCGAAAATATGAATGAATAAGTGAATGAATTGAAAAATGAGCTAATGACTAATCACTGACTGGACGAATATATAATATATATATATATATATATAGATCAATGAATGAATGCACGAACGAATGAATGGATGAACAAACGAATGAAAGGATGAACGAACGAATGAATGAATGGATGAACAAACGAACGAGTGAATACCAATAATAAAACGAGTAAAAAAATATTGCATTTCGTTCTATTTATAATACAATTAAAGATATCATCTCCCGCATCGCAGTTGAGTAAATTTTTTTTCAAAAAAGAATTTCAACAGAAAAAGAAAACAACAAAAAATTAATGAATGATAATAATAATAATAATAATAACAATAATAATAATAATAACAATACAAACATGGTTGAGAACTTAGGAGCCGCTTGGTTGAAAGAAGAAAAAATCGTTAAAAGAATCATCATCATCAATACAATAATTATCATCATCTTCATTATTATCATAATTTATTCATTTATTTATTAAAATGTTTAAAATTCACGAGAAAGAGATCGAAAATAAGGTCGCTAGCCGCAAAGACGATACCAAAGATCATATATGTGATTATTACCAATCGTATAAAGTCGTCCACATCGTCATCATCGTCATCGTCGTCGTCATCTTCACTACCATCATCATCATTGCCGTAATCATCATGTTGTTCCTCATTTTGGTAATTATTCCATACTTCGTCATCATCATCATCATCATCGTCGTAGTCGCTCTCAACATCATCATCATCATCATCATCCTCATCGAAATTATCACCACTATCATCACTCTCATAGCCACAACCATCACAATCATCATCATCACCACAACCGACACTACCATCGTCATCATCACTGCAGTCGTCATTATCATCATCATCATCACCAAAACCACAGTAGTCATCATCGCCATCTTTATTATTATTATTGTTATTAGTATTATCATCATCATCACCATCGTCGACGTCATCACTACGGAAGTACGGATATGTGGAAAGGACTTCCGGGTATATGTTGCTCGCCCCACTTCACCACCAAGACGTAGTTACCTGATAATGATGATGATGATGATGTTGATGATGATGATTATCATCGTTAACGTCTGGTTATTTTTACATTTTCTATCGTAACTTCTGCCAAAATCAACGACCCTAAAACCATCACCATCATCACCGCCGTCATCATCATCATCATCATTACCATCATCGTCATCATCAGTATTAACACTATCATCGTCATCATCACCATCATCATAGCCGCATTCGAACCTGGTTGGTGTACGGTGTAGGCCACATTGTAGAGGCAGTCGCCCACGTGTTTGACCTTGACTTCCTCACAGGGTATCTCAGGGCCCATGACCCCGACCATCAACATGTTATAACCTGTATTCATTCATGATCATGATCATCATCATCATCATCATCATCATCAATACTATCATTATCAACACCGATCAGCACTCAACCCACCGGCTTCCGTGGTGTCGACGGTGAAATACGTCTCTTTATTAGCGTAGGCCCTCTGCAGACCGACACCGGTCACCTTGACCTTCGTGGGGTCAGAGGGCAAATGTGGATGACCCGAGGTTAACTTTTGAGTGGTGCTTGTTTTTGTGATGGTCTCAACGACGACTTGCGATTGCTCGGACCAGGCCGCTGGTCTGCCGGGACCTGAGTGAGAGGTGGTGGGGTGGGGAGGGCAGTAGTTGTGGATTACGTTTTTGTTGCTATTACATCCAGCCACTCAGTCCACCAATTAATTCATTCACCTATCCATCCATCCATCCATCCATCTATCCATCCATCCATCCATCCATCCATCCATCCATCCATCCATCCATCCATCCATCCATCCATCCATCCATCCATCCATCCATCCATCCATCCATCCATCCATCCATCATATTCCTCCTCCTCACCTTCAATCCTGGCCCTGAAGGGACTTCCGGGAATATGATAGTTCCCGCCATATTTGATAGTTATAAGGTAATCGCCAGGTGCAAGCGGGGTGTAGGTGAACTCGTAGCCCTCCTCGACCTCCCTACATGTTAATTGCACTTTTGAGGGGCCGTCCACTGTTACTGCTAGGGCCCCTGACCCCGCGTTGACCGTGTTCACGATAAACTTGCACAACTGGCCTAAAAAAGTGATTGGTTGGATGGAAAAGTGAGTGAGTGATTGATTTGAATATTCAATCAGTTAATTTTTAAAATATTTAACAACAGTTACTTCGAAATTTCAACTACAAAACCGGCCAGACCAGCCAGCCTACCCACCTGTTGATCCGTGGTGCAACCCATCCCCGTAGGCCCTTACCAGACCAGGATCAGCCTCCTGCTTGCCCACAAAGACACGGAAGGGACTGCCAGGGATGTGATTTCCGTTGAGACGCACGTGGATCAGGTGGACCCCATTTTCTCGTGGGGTGAATCTTACGGCGTACCTATCTGTTGGGATGTTGAAAAGAAAAGTGGGTGGCTTGAGTTGTGTGGTAGTTAGTGATCAGTTCTCTGGTGAATAATTGTTAAATTGGTTAGTTAGTTAACTGATTTATTGACATTCATTCGAATAATATTTGCGTTAAAGTTCATGAAAAGTGTGTTTGATAGTTGACGAGTGACGAACGTAAAAAAAATGAGCACTGAATTTGAACAGCCACGTACAAAACGAATAATCCAAACAACCGAACAGACATCCAGCCATCCAAACGAACCAACCAATCAAACAAACCAACCGGTCAACCGGCCAATCAACCGGCCAACCAACCAACCAATCAAACACCCCCTCACCTTTCTCGATCTCCTGAATGATGGCCTGGTCCTCCTCTCCAGATGGAGCGACCACCCTGGCGTCCAACCTCCCCTGGGCTCCATTGAAATCCACTGTGAAGGCAGCCGGCTTGTTTATCTGCAATTGTAAGATAAACTCCGTCAGAGTCAGAATATTTTTTTCAAGAATAATAAAAAGATAAACAAAATTATGTTACTACATTACTTAAAGTAACCAATTACTTTTGTATTCAAACACTCGAACTAATTAATTAATTAACTAAACAATTAATCAATTAATTAAATAGCGGAAATAAGCCAAACGTACCTGCCATTCCTGTTGATGTATGTCGATGACGTTCAACTTTCTGACGTCACCGTACGGAGAGGTCACGTGCACTTTGAATGGCGAGTCAGGGATGTGCTGGTCGTTGAATTTAATAGACACCAGGTAATCTCCTGTTGTTAATTAGTGAACGAATGAGTGAATGAATAAACGAATGAATGAGTAAATGAACGAATGAATGAGTGAATGAAGGTTAATACATGAATGAGAAATTGAATGAATGAGTGAATAACCAGAAATGTAAGACGTGATCAAAACTAATTTTGAATCAAAGAAACAAAAGAGCGTAGAAATAAATTCGCGGCGCAAAGCAAAATTTAAACCAACCAGGCTCCGTGCAAACGTAGGCAACATCACACGATCCATCTTTTTTATCCTGAAAATCTATTTCCGCCTTGCTGGGACCTTCAACTGCGATGCTCAACCCCCCTGCTCCCGCTTCCCTCGTGTAGATACTGAAATGGTCTGAAGTTTTTGTGGTGTGGTGTGGGCAGTTGGATAGATAGATGAATAAATAAATTAAATTAAACAGAAGAACGATTGATTGACAGCTTATACAACCGTACATACTCTGCTTATGGACCTCCCCTCTATCCAGTCCGTGGCCAATGGCACGAACTTTATGAGCACCCCCGTCTGTGATTGGTCCGACTGTAAACTGAAAGGGGCTTCCTAAAATTATGACGACGACGACGATGATGATAATATCGGCGACGATGGTAATGATGACGATGATGATGGCTAACCAGCAAGAAAATAGGAAGATGACGACGACCTCAAAAACGTGAAGAATAGAATGACAAAAAAAAACAACAACAAAACACGACACAGGAAAATCGCAGAAACAAAAACACACATCAGCACAAACACCCCAATACAAAAAATAAACAATACAAACCAGGAATGTGCACGCCTCTGTGCTTGACGCTGACGGTATGGACGCCCATCTCTTTGGGGACGAACTTGATGCTGTAGTGGCTACTGCCGAGATCCTGGATGTGGCAGGTCTCCGTGTATCCGGAGGGACTGCTTACCGATGCCTCCATGTCGTATTTGTTGGTTCCTTGTTATTATCAATATCGCTATTATTATTATTATTATTATTATTATTATTATTATTATTATTATTGATATTATTATTATCCGCGTCATTGTCTACGTCATCATCTTCGTCATCACCATAAATAAAAAAAAAAAAAATTTGTATTTTCTCCCATCGATACCAACCAGGAATTTTGAGACTGAGCTCACACTCGGACCCGATGTGCGTGATGTCGGCAGCCTCTCTCTGCCGCAGGATCTTCTCGGTCATCCTTCCCGATGGCTCTCCATCGATGCGCACCATGTACGGACTTCCTGTTTGTTGAGTGATTGGTTGGCTGGTTTGTTGATTGGTTGGTTTTAATTGGTTGGCTGGTTTGTTGATTGGTTGGTTTTAATTGGTGGGTTGGCGAGTTGATTGATTGATAAAGACTAAAAACACTGATCCAACTTATATTCAAATTCCCCGACAATCCTTCCACATAGCACTTACTCACACGCATTCACTGCCCACTACTAACCAGGCACATGTTCATCAGCAAACTTGACATTGACCAGATAGTCTCCGGGTTCGGTGGGCCTGTATGTGACCCTGCAGGAGCCATCGTCGTTGTCCTGGCAGTCGATGTCTGCCTTGCTCGGTCCCTCCACAGACAGACTCAGCCCACCATATCCTAGTTTGGAATTGAAGAGTTTTCTCCAATTTTTTACTTTGTAAACATCACTTCAAAGTTTTTTTTTTGTTAAAAAATTTCAGCATTTGAACGTCTTATTTCATTTACTAGAACCAATAACCCATTACGCTTGTACGGTCAATAAAAATAATGATAGCATAAAATGATTAACCCACTGCGTAGCAATTGATCAATTGTTCAAAGCAGAAACAAAATAACTGAAAATTAAAAGATATCATGGACATTATTTATTGCAGTAAAATGGTTAAAATATAACAAGAATTAATAACTGATAAATTGCTACTAATAGCAATGAAACTGAACAACACACCGGCATCTTTTGTATTGACGAAAAATTCATTCAGCTCATTGGCCATCCCTCTAGTGAGGCCACGCCCATAGACCTTGACCTTACTGGCGTTGCCCACCTCAGTCTCACCGACGTAGATCTTGAACGGCGAGTTAGGGATGTGCTGCTTGCCTGGCCGGTACACATTCACCAGGTAGTAGCCCACCTCGCGAGGCGTGAACGAGATGCCTACAGCAGCGTAACAAACAAATCTCAACATTCAAGGTTGTATATATATATGTGTATGTGTGTGTGTGTGTGTGTGTGTGTGTAATTATATGAATAAATTAGCATTAATTATAATAAATCATTGTTGTTCGTATTTATCGGGTTGGTTTTCGTTCCTATGTCATCTTTGTTTATTCTTATATCTTCTTAGTTACTGACATAAACAACTGCAATATGGAACGAAACAAGGACAGCAGCCACATACCTAGATGACCATTGGGCAGTCTCTTGAGTAGACATGGCTCCTCATAACCGGAAGGACTCCTGATGCTGGCCGTCAAGTTGCTGATGTCTGCCTCCATGATCCTCAGGGACACCTCACTGCTTGTGCCAACCGACAGGTAGGCTTGTTTGTAGTTGTCTCCCACTACAAATTAAGTAGGAAGAAAACTTTCGAATGTATGAAAAATAATGAATGTGTGTGCGTGCGTGTTCGTGTGTGTGTGCGTGCGTGTGCGTGTGTGTGGTTGACTGTACGTCGTGAAATATCCTAACAATCAATTACCGATTTTAGCAGTGAATGGCGAGCCAGGGATGTGCTGATCAGCGAATTGAATGATGATGTTATACTCGCCAGGTGCAGTGGGCAGGTAGGACACGGAACATGTACCGTCCTTGTTGTCCACACAGGTTATCTCTGCCTTCGAGGGGCCCTCCACGGCCAGGGCCAGGCCACCTAGGGAGGATGAAATTATTGAAATAATAATAAATTTTGAAATGACGTCATCGTTGTTTGTATTACGAAATGTAAAATGGCATCAATTAAAAATATGTTAGTTGATTTCAATGCAATGTCAAACTAACACTCAAAGATAAAAGACGATTGGTAGTTTATTTAAGTAAAACATAGGACAACAACAACAAAAATTAAAGTAACCAGTTCCAGCATCTTTGGTGACAATAGTAAAGGGGCACGGCTGACCCACGAGACCGTGACTGAGCCCTGGACCGTATGCGGTGACCACCCCCCTTCCAAGAGCATGCACAAAAAAGTTGAAGGGACTGCCATCGATGGGGTTGTTGTTGTAGAAGACGTCCAGTTTATGGAGGCCCGTTTCTCTGGGAGAGTACTTGATTTTGACAGTTCCATTCTTGTTGTCCTCGATCACTGGTCGATGCTGCTCACCAGATGGTGTGGTTACTGTGGCTGTTGTTGTGTGGTGTCGTGTGGTCAATGTGGCTGTTGTCGTGTGGTGTCGTGTGGTTACTGTGGCTGTTGTTGTGTGGTGTCGTGTGGTCAATGTGGCTTTTGTAGTGTGGTGTCGTGTGGTCTATGTGGCTGTTGTAGTGTGGTGTCGTGTGATCTATGTGGCTGTTGTAGTGTGGTGTCGTGTGGTCTATGTGGCTGTTGTAGTGTGGTGCCGTGTGGTCAATGTGGCTGTTGTAGTGTGGTGTCCGTGTGGTCTATGTGGCCGTTGTAGTGTGGTGTCATGTGGTCTATGTGGCCGTTGTCGTGTCGTGGTGCGGTCTGTTGTGTGGCGTGCTATTTCGGTTATTGTATTAACGTTGCTTATCATACTTTGTTTTGAATTATTATAGAAGAAATAAACAATTGAAACATTTTTACCGGAAACAAAACTGAAGATGGGACCAATGGGAATACAGAAGTCGACCGGATTGAATGTCGGTTTTTCCATTGCTTTCAATTTCTCCGGATCCATGGCCTGAATAACCAAAGATAATAAATACACATGAAAAATAACAGTTTAAAAAATGGGATGACCTTTGATTAATCGTTTGAAATAAATCCTTTAGAGTTAAAACATTGTCGTTTGCAATAAAAATTTCAAAATAAAAAATCTCAAAAAACCATTCCCAGACGGACCAACCTGCTGGGTGAAGTTACCACTTGGGATGGGTTGACCGCCAAACTTTAGGTTGATGGTGTAGGCTCCGGGGAGACGAGGGGTGTAGAGGACGCTGACAGTGCCATCTGCGTTGTCGACGATATCGATGTCGACGTCGCTACCACTTGTGCTTCTGATGTGGCAGGTGATGTTTCCATAGCCGGCATCTGCTGTGTTGATGTTTATCACGCACTCCTCGCCAACTGGAATTGTGGTTCTTACGCCATCTGGTGAAACAAATTTTTATTATTCTATTTTTATTTATTTTATTACTTTCGATATTAGTTTGTAGTTTTAATAGCTAGTTCAACAAATTTTATGACCAAACTTATTATTAATCATTTAATTTTCCTTGTTATTTGTCCAGCATTTTGGTTAATTTCATTTTGGTTAATTTCATTTTGGAATGAAATTTTTCAAAAAATAAAAACAACAACAAAACACTGATGAACAAATAAATATATTTAAACAGCTTATTTACCTAATATTTTAACTTTGCTGGCATCTCCGGTTGGAGAGGTGTTGACATAGAAGGGGGCGTGAGGGACATTCTGGCCCCCAAACTTAACATCGACCATGTACCTGCCTACATCTGATGGCGTGTAGGTGACTACATATGTCCCATCGTTGTTATCCATTATTTTCGATCGAACGAAGTTACCATACGGGTCCTCGAAATAATTTTTGAAAAGTTTATCTACAATTTTTTTCATCTAGTTTAGGAGTTTGTAGTCTTAAATATTAGATTAATCAATAATCAATCAATCAATCAAAAGTGTATAGCCCAACTTCCATTGATGATGAACAAGAACAAACGAACAAACAAATGAACGAACTTGTATAACGACGTCTAGATCAGCCAGACCGGCATCCCTCGTATCGATGAGGAAGGTTGTGGGTATGCTGGCCAGAACCCCTGTTGGTTTGACACCATCTCCACTTACAATCACGCGACTGGCATCGAAACTCGGCCAGATGCGAGTGTGGAAAGGACTTTTTTGGTAAATTAATTAAAATTGTAAATTTTTAAATTAAAAAATGGTAAAAAATTAAATTATTTAGCTAACTTTTATTTAACTAATTATTCAATTTAAAATTTATATAAATAAATCTGTAAAATTAAAACGTTCTTAAAATAGGAAAGTAGAACAAATCCGAGAATGCAGGGTATTTAAATTTTAAAATCCCAATGTTTACATTTCTCAGTCAAAGTGAAGTTAATTTAAAATAGTGATGTGCAAATAGTTATTATTTCAATTATAGAACTATAATTCTGCTACGCTATCTATAAATTTCCCAAACCGCCAAGCCATGTAAATGAATTAAATTTTCATTTTATAACTTCTTAATACTTAACAATTCTAATAAGTTTGTGTCTTAATCTGTGTACATATGCATGCTGGTGTATATAAATAAAAGAATTGTGTATGTGTGTACGCGTATGTGTATATACAAAACGGTGTGTGTGTGTATGTGTATGTACACTAAAAAAACCTCACCTTCCAGGTACTGGTTTTCCGGCATAATTGACATCAACCGTCAATGGGCCCTCCGTGTCGGGGTAGTAGACCACATCGAATGTCTCATCACCATGTCTGTTTATTTGGGCCGGTCTCTTGCGGCCTAGAGAAATTATTATAGTTCAATTATTTCATTTCTTTACAGAAACTGATAATTTGTCGTTTATTCTCCCTAAAATCAACTGTGCTAACCTTTCGAATCTGTAGTGAACACTTCGAGTGGGGCGATTCCAGCATTGGTAGTGTCAACGGTAAAAAGTCCTGGCTGGCCCCTTCTTACTCCCTTAGGTTCAATTCCCGGTCCGTAACATCTTACTTTCATTGGGTTGACTTCATCGGTGATGTGAACATGGAAGGCACTGCCTGTGTTCCAATGTTGTTAAGTTAACGTTTGCTCGAGTGTGTTCCTCGATGTTTCATTCATTCAAGATGGCAGCTATTTATTTCCATAAAGCGTTAATTATAATTTTGATTTACCTGGAATATCCCTGTTTGCGAATTTGACGCTGATGTCGTAGTCTCCTGCTTTGGTTGGCAAGTACTCCACGGTGCAACTGCCTGCATTTTTTTGTTGAGTCAGTTCGTTATTATGCTATAGATCGTTTATTCCATTTAATTGTTTAACGTTGCAACATCAATTCTTTCTAAATTTGAACCAACCATCTCTGTTATCCCTGCAGTTCATCTTCGCCTCAGAGGGCCCTTCAATGGCGAGTCCCAAGCCACCTTGGCCAGCCCCTCTTGTTTCGACCGTGAATATTTGAGGTTGGTTTGTGTGTCCGCCCTCCAAACCTGTTGCGTTACAATTTTTCGAGTGAAAATTTGAGATAACTGCACAAACGGTTAAAGTTTTAATTACAAATTACGTCCAAAATCGAAGATATTTCTGACGTTTTCGTCGTAAAAATCCATCTGAAACAAATTTCAGGAACCGACCTGGTCCGTATGCCCTGACCTTTGAGGGGTCACAGCCGGGAACGACGTTGACCTTGAATGGACTTCTCGGGATGTGGAATCCATCGTACGTGACGTCAATCAGGTGCAAGCCTCGAATGAAAATTATTCCATCAGGCAACCAAAATTTTTAAAATTTCAAAACCAAATTGATCACACAACCAACCTTGTTCGAAAGGCGTGTACAAGCATTTAAAGGTGCCGTCGTTGTTGTTGTTTGTCAGTGCTTCGGTCTTCAGTCCGTTTGGCGAGGTCACGAATGCTTTGACCTTTCCTTGACCTTTCGGGATGACCTGAGTAGCGTCCACTATGAAGTCCGTGGTGCTGTCTAGAAAGACTCCTGTTTGTGTTTGTTGTTTTTTGAGTGTTGGGTTTAAGTTTTTTGATTTGCTAGAATTGATTGAAATTATTTAATTTTTTTTTGCATAGGGTGAGTTAGTAACTGATTAGTAATAGGTAACATAGGAAGGGTTTAACTGTTTGTTAGATGGTTGGAGATTGATATAGCCTAAAACAACAGATCATGAATAAAAGTGAACATCTGTACGTGCATAACCTTGTTAGATTATTGTGTAATAATGTTAAAAATGATGAAAACACAAACGAAAATGCTGAATTAATCATAAGGAAATTAGACAACTACACATGCTTCTCAAGTATGTAACATGCCTTGGACTGGAAAAATATTGTTATTTTAACCGTTATCTGTATTAATATGTTAAAAGTAACGAGAACATGCAACAGAGTTATACGTCCGATAACTTTTTTTATATTTAAGGAATTAAAAAAAGTTGGTCCGGCTGGTATATTCTTCTTCAGCTTAGCCATGTAACATTGAATAAAGACAATAATAACAATAATAATAAGACAGTCCGATTATTGTTATTATGATTGTTATTGTTAGAAACCCAGATACGACGGAAAAACTAATCCATTCAAAGAAGGCAAGCACTAATAACCCGTTGGCTGTAGTCCGGGCCCATAAGCTCTGACGTTACTAACGTCCACTGTTCTGCTCGGCTGTATGAGGGCCTTAAATGGAGATTTTGCGATTGGTTTCTCGTCGTAAGTGATGTTGATGACGTAATCTCCAGGCTCCGTTGGCCAGTATCTGACGTCACAAGTGCCATCCCCCCTGTCGAAACATTCAATCTTAGCCTCGCAGGGCCCCTCTATGGTCAGTCCCAATCCTCCAGGGCCTGCCTCTCGAGTATCGATTGTGAAATCTGCCGGAGCGTTCGCCTTGCCAGTGGTCAGCCCTGGACCGTACGCTTTCACTTCCATGGGGTCTCCCTTAGGGGGTGGGGCTGGTTTCTGTTCGTCTATGTAGGCCACGCAACGGAAAGGACTCTTTGGAACCGGCTGGCTGGCAAAAACTACTTGCACCGAATGTGGGCCGATTTCGATCGGGACGAATTTAGCGCCAAACCCGTCGATCGTTTCTTCAATTTTAGCTGCCATCAACTTTCCAGAAGGACTGGTGATGAGCACTTGAACTTGACCTTTGCCAGCCCCAGTTGTTATTATGTCGAAGTCTACTTCCTTCCCGACTGGCACTCCTAAATTTCGTTAAATGTTATAATGAATCACACCGAAGTTTTGTGGCGTGTTAAAAATCCGTTTGTTGTTCTTCGCGATTTTTATTGCGCAAGTTTCTAGTGGGATTTTCAAATGAAATTCGCAAATTAATAATGAAAGGTGCAACATGGTAGATTATTTGGAACAGCATTCACTGGTCTGACGCACTCAGAAATAGTTAATAAACTGCTGGGCGGTGAATCAAAAAATCAAAAATTGAAGTTAGCATGGCAGAATTTTAAGGATGAAACTCGTAAAATGGATTTTGAAATGATTAAAATTAGGTTTACAATTTGCATGACTGTTTCAAACATAAAAAAAATAATTAATTGGGCAGTTGAAACCGGACAATTACTACAAATGAGGTCATAAATTAAATTTTAAAATGAATGAAAACGAAATCATCTTAACTACAGTAACAATTTTAAATAAAATCACAAAATATTCAACCGTTAAGACATCATCATATAATAAACAAATTAAGTAATTAATTTATTAATAATTATACGTAAATAAATTAATAAAATAACTCATGAATAATTAAAAAACAAAGACGAAACAATCCTAACTTTCTTCCAGCCCTTCCACCTTAACTTTTCCAACATCGATACTGGGCTCCACTTTGATTTTATACGGACTGGCGGGAATTTCCTGATCGGCAAAGAAGACATTAGCCGTGTACATGCCGACCGTAGTTGGCTCAAAATCAATCCGGAACGTATTATCCCCATTATCCCTTGTTTCCACGGGACAGTCCATGCCTTTGGCGTCTGCCAGGCCTATAGCCACGTCGCCTATATTTGAAGGGGTAAGGTTAAATTTTGGTGCTATTTATTGCATCCTCTATTTATTGTATTTTTTTATTATTATATATTGCACCTGGCCCAGCTTCGGTGCAGTCCACAATGAGGAAGGTCCGCTGGAAGGTCTTGACCGGCCTCTCCAGAGCAGGGCCGTAAACTTTGACCTTTGAAGGGTTGCTACTCTCTTGCACGAGAACCTTTTGAAAGTAAGATTTATTTTATTTTAATAGTTTAAAAAGTATTTCATTATTTTAAAAAGTAATATTTATTTTATTTTGTAAGAACTACTTAGTTAATAAATTACTGGATTTGTAAGGCATCAGTTTACTACTAACTACACTAACATCAAATTACTGCCACAACTACTAACTCTGTACGGGCTATGTGGGATAGAAACTCCACCGTACGATATCAAAATTGTGTGCTTTACGCTTCTCTTGGGCATGTAGCGGCAGAAGAAAGTGCCTACATGTGTGCGTGTGTGTATGTGTTTGTGTGTGTGTGTGTTTGTGTGTTTGTGTGTGTGTGAGTGCGTTTGTGTGTGTGTGTTTGTGTGCGTGAGTATAATTAATTTTCATTCAAAGACCGATTGTGATCTTACTAAACTTTCAAAGTCACACTACATGAAAAACAAAAATAGCAATAACAATAATAACAAACAAAAATAATCAACAAAATAATAACAGCAATAACAAAAACAAGTAGAATAAAATTATCCCAAATATTTTTTAATAATTATCCCAACAATCCCAAAAACACCGACCATCCTTGTTATCCTGGACGAGAACATCAACGGGATTGTAGTCAGCATCCATGGCTACAATCGTAAGGGGTGCGCGGCCGGCCCTTCTCGTGTCCACCGTAAATTCGGCCCATTTGTTGACCGTGTTGCCTACCCTCTGCAAGCCTGGCCCTGAGGCCTCTACCTAAAAAGATGATGAGGATGACCATGACGACGACAAAGATGATGAAGAAATAATAGTGATGTTGAAAACGACAGAGATAATGATGAATCAATGATGCTAAAATCGGCGACAACAAATTAAGAGTTTAAATAGGTCCACGTCAAACAAAAAATAAACCAACTTTAGACGGATCAAAAGATCCTGTCATGGGCCTGATATCCGCCATGTAGGGGGATTTCGGGATGTCCTCCTCATTGCAGAGAATGTGCACGGCGTACTCGCCGGGAGCTGTCGGCCAGTAGGTGATGTCAGCAGAGCCGTCGCCGTTGTCCTTGCAGTCGATTTTGGCCTGGGATGGCCCTTCTATCGAAAATCCTTTTGGGATAACAAAATCAGTTTGATGGATGTCTGGATTATTATCAAATTTGAATAAATTTAAATTAAATACACACACAATCACAAGCACACACACACACCACCAAGTACTCACCTAGCGCTCCAGTTTCGCCATTAGTTTCAACAGTGAAACATGCGGGGAAACCGACCACCCCCGTCTCCAGACCCGGCCCGAAGGCACGTATGTGGCTTTGTTTCAAGGGCCCCACGTCTACCTGGAATGTTTGTTGTGGTTCGTTGAATGGTTGTTCTTATTTGTTGAATTTTTTGGATGTAAGTGTTCTGACTCTGTCTCTGGAGTCTTATCAAGAATTTATATGTAATGATTACGTATTATTTATTTGATTATTGATTAATTTATTATTTATTGATTATTTATCTGCCTCTCAGCAAGATTTAAAAAAATAATTGTGTGAAGGACAATGATACCTTGAAAGGACTCTTTGTGATAGGCTGGCCTCCGTAATTAATAACCACAGTGTGGAGACCTGTAGCGTTCATTTATTAAAAAATTTTTTAAATTTATTGATATAAAATATCTTTTCAATTTCACCTTTCAACATCATGTTAGTCAATTGATATCTCAATAGCAAGAAAGAAATATCCATTAATTAAATTGCAATATAACATCCTAGCAATCATGTAACCTGGCTTTCTAGGTGTGTAGGCGCATTCGAAGGTCACGGGGTCCAATTTTCGGACCCTTATCCTCTCTTCGACACCCCCAGGTCCAAGAACCCTGACCATTAGATCGCCATCGCCGGCCCCCTGCGTGTGGACTTTGAAGTCGGCATCGTCGCCCACTCTCACGCCCTTGGGTTGAATGCCTCTTCCAGTGGCGTAGCAGCGCCTGGCGTCCGCGGCTGTTGTGGTTGTGTGTTGTGTGTGTGTATGTGTGTGTATGTGTGTGCGTGTGTATTGTGTGTGTGTTGTGTGTGTCTATGTGTGTGTATGTGTGTGTGTATGTGTGTGTATGTGTATGTGTGTGTGTCTATGTGTGTGCATGTGTGTGTGTATGTGTGTGCGTGTGTGTTGTGTGTGTGTAAACGTAATTCACAAAAAAAGAAACAACACTTAGTTAGAATCTGTTATAATTAACAGATCTGTTATAATCAACAGACACTGCCAAAGTTAATTTAATGAATTGTAAATAGCGTTTACTATTCACTTTACAACGCTTGTAGATATGATCAATGTCCCGAATCACAAACGACTCACGACAATAAAGAATTTTTATGATTGCAAAGCCTTAGCAAAGTGGAATAATAAAATGTTGAGAATACTATATAACCCGACAGGTTTGCCTTCTCTACAACTGCTTTCAAAAGTTCTCCAAATAATTTTGATAGCTCATTTGTTCTGGTAAATTGTTCTATTACTTTCAGCAAATTGCACTCTGCCAATTAAGAAGATGATACCTATATCAGAACTCATCGCCGGCTTCCAGAAGAAGGTCACGGATGCTAAATTAGAAGAGAAAAGAATACAACGAGAGAAGAGTAATGACATAATCAGGCAGAGGAATAAAAAGTTAAAGGACGAAGCGGTGGAATTTTCAAATCAAAGGAAAGTAATTTTGGAAAAAATGGCTAACGAGAGGGAGAAAGTGGTCAAGAGACTGTTAATCAGGTTGAGGAAAAATGAGGAGAGACTAAGGGAGAAGAAATCAGCCGCTGTAGCCGAGCCGGAAGATTTGGAGTTACTGATGGAGAGTGATGAAGTGAAGGATATGATGATGAAAATTAATGAAATGATGATAGCCCGGAACATGAATAAGTGATGCTACTAAGAGTAGATATGCAAGTTCATGCTAACTTACTGATACTTTTATATTTAATGAAGCGCCTTGAAATGGTGCAATATAATTATTTTCTAATAATAATAATATATCGCTGAAGAAACTACAAGAGAGAAACTAATTTTTATTTATTTGTTTCTTTACTCTTTATTTATTTGTTTCTTTCATTATAAATTATTCAATGTTTCTGACGGTTTAAATAAAGATATATTGATCTCTAATGTTCGAATTAGAGTTTGTTATTCAGCTACATAGATAAATATGTGTAAAGTCGAATCACAAATGAACTTTATATAAATATATTAAAGTTAATATATTTTTATTTTGTTACTATAGCAAATAAACGAGTTCATGATTCCACATTTATATGCAAACACACATACAGACGGACAAACGTACAGACAGACAGACAGACAAATATACATACGTGGTTTTTTCATCTGTGAAACGCCTTGCGGTTCTATTAAAGTAAAATAGAGAAAAATAAATTAACAAAATCGTTAATTAAATATTAAGTAATTTAAAATTTTAACATCAGGTGCAAATTTTGCATCTGTCAGTCTTGTCATATCTCGCACGGATTTATAAGATGTGAAATTTTTATTAAATAACGTTTCGGTTCGTCTCGTTTCGCCTTGCCTCGTTTCGAGTCGTTTCATTTCGTTAAAAAAAATGCTTTATGGGTAATTGCATTTTATTAGAAAGACAAAGGTGACCAACGTTGTTTGGTTACTGGTTCAACCGGGGCAACTGGCAGACCTGATGGCTTGGCTGTCGCTGAAATAGTTGTTGATACGTTTGTGTGTGTGCGTGTGTGTGTGTGTGTGCGTGTGTGTGTGTGTGTGTGTGTGCGTGTGTGTGTGTGTGTGTGTGTGCGTGTGTGTGTGTGTGTGTGTGTGTGTGGTAGACGAGAGTGAAAGAAAATGTGTTTCTATGTCTGTTTGTCTGTTTAAAATGTTATTATTCCTAGAAATCCAAATGATGAGCTTTTAGGATGATAATAAGATGATAATATGCAAATTTATGTTAATTTATTCATAAAAATGTATTCACTAACGCGAAGCAATTGAAGACCTAGCTGCATCAACTGTATGTTTAAAAAAAATTTTCATAATTTATTTGAATGTCATAGAGATTCAGTTCGATAAATGAAAAACACAAATCTAACGCGGGGCGCATTGCTTTCCTGGTGGAATTCCTTTGAGGAGAATAAAATAAATTTATAATTTTTTACAAATTATGATTAATAATAATACTACTAGTAATAATAATATAATAATGGTGAAGATGCTTGTCACTGCTACTCCAGTGACCAGGTTCAATGGCAGGAAGATTCGGACCAGTCACATGCAATGTACTAAAATATTTAGAACGTACACTCACTGATCTTTTTGAGAATTAGTAAAAGAAGAATTGTGTTAAAAATAAAAAAAATTAATAATAAAAATAAAAGTAATTATTAAAGTTTATGAAAAGTTCGTTAAAAAAAATCATCTTACTGTTTGCGTCGACAGGCGGCGCTCCTTCTGTTGTTGTTTATGATGAAAATTAATGAGAAAAATAATAATAATAATAATAATAATAATAATAATAATAATAATAATAATAAGTCAACCAGTCGACCAGTCGACCAAACATTGAATCAATCAACCAGCTGGTTAGACGGACAATCAATCAGTTAATCGATCAATCATTTTATCATTCATTCATTTATCATTCATTTATTCAGTCAGCTAACCAACCAGCCAATGAATCAACCAACTGACCATCAAACCAACCGACCAACCAACCAGCCAACCGACCAGCCAATGAATCAACCAACTGACCATCTAACCAACCGATCAACCAACCAGCCAATCAACCAACCAACCAACCGACCAACCAACCAACTAACCAACCAACCAGCCAACCAACCGACCTCTAGACACGTGCACTGGATAGGGACTCATCGGGATTGACTTGCCTGCGAAGTACACGTTAACACTATGGAGGCCTTCTATTAATGGCAGATACTCAACATACCTAATGATGATGATGATGAGGATGAGGATGATGATGGTAGGGGTGGTGGGGATGGTAATGATAATGATGTGACGTAGATGCCGATGATGATGATGAAGATGATGTTGATAATGATGTTGAAGATGATGTTGATGATGATGTTGATGATGATGATGATGATGATGTTGTTGACGGTGTGGAGGACGATGAATATGTAGTTAATAATAACGAAATCTTCAACGATGGTGATAATATTAATAATAATAAGAATAATAATAATAATAAATAATAATAATAAATAATAAAGAATAATAATAATAACAAATGATAATAATAAAAACAACAATAATAATAACCAATTATCATCGGATTTTCTAGCCACCAATGGCTTCACGATGTCCCGTCGGCCGGTTGGATCGACGATGCCGACGTCAACCACACCAACGCCAACGTCTGTCGCAATTATTTGTGGTTATGATAATTAGGTAGGGCTATAATTAATTATGATAATTAGGTAGGGCTATGATTAATTATGATAATTAGGTAGGATTGTGATTAATTATAATAATTAGGTAGGGCTTTGATTAATAATGATAATTAGGTAGGGGTATAATTTATTAAGATGATTGCAAGGGCAACATCAGACACACACACACATGCACATACAAACACACACTCACACGCACATACAAACACACACACACGCACATACAAACACACGCACACACGCACATACAAACACACGCACATACAAACACACACAAACAAGTACATACAAACATCACCACATCACCATCACAAACTTTTGGTATGCACTTCAAAGTACGTCTTCCTATTAGCAACAACGCCAGTTTTCTCAATCCCAGGACCCGAGGCAGTCACCCTACCAGCGTCTCCAGGGACTGCCTCAACATTGACGACGTAGGGGCTTTTGGGGGTCTCCTTGCCCGCGAATTTGACGTGGACTCTGTAGGGCCCGGCCATGCTCGGCACGTAGACGCAGTTATAGGAGGCGCTTCTGTCGTTGTTGAAGATGACCTCGCACTGGGTGGTGGGAGTTTTCAGTGGCGGTGGATTGGTTGAAAGATAAATTAAAAATGAAAAAAATAAACAAGATAAGAAAAGAGAGATAAGAAGGAAAAAGTGAGAGAAAAGAAGAGAGAGAGAAAGAAAGAGAGAGAAAAGAGAAAATGAGCAGCAGCAACAAAAGTACTAACAGGTTCTTGCTGACCATTGGGGTTGACGACAACTATCTCAGGTTCACCTGACCCTGCAGCGAATGTTTCCACGATGAATCTTGCTGGGTTGCCCGCCGTGTTTCCATAGGGCTCGATTCCTGATTGGGTGTGTCGATGGTTGAGTTGGTAGGTAATTTTTGTTGTTGTAGAAGTAGCAGCAGAAGTAGTAGTAGAAGAAATGGTGGAAACAGTAGTAGTAGTAGTAGCGGTTGTTGTTTTTATGGTGTGGCTTGTATTATTGTTGACGTGCAGAATGTTTCGTTGTTGTTGGAATGTTTGGTTCATGATTTTTGATGTTGTTGTTGAAATCTTTGTATTTATGATAGTGTTGTTGTCGTAATCAGGAACTGCAACAACAAAACCAAGAAAAATCAAAACACTCCAAAGACGACAACAACAACAACAAATAAATCCTGACCTGGTCCATAAGCCTTGATACGCGCCGGATTAGTTTTGGGTTTCAGCGGTGCTCCATGTTTTAGTTTTGCGTTGGGATACTGGGATAAGTAGGTCATCATACTTAATTCGTCAACTTTGGGATTGCACATTTCGGCTGGGCGGATCAACTATATTTGGGATAGTTGGGATAAAAAGATGATGATAATGAAGGTGATCACCATCATCGTCGTCGTCGTCTTTATCATCATCGTCATCTTCATCATCATCGTCATCGTCGTCTTCATCATCATCGTCATCGTCGTCTTCATCATCATCGTCATCAGTACCTGTGGTACGTCAAGCCACTGTTCAGCGGCATTCATTGCTTCCGTAGCGTTTGGTATGGCGTTCTCCGGGGTCCAGTCCTGCCAATCAGGGCAAAGCCCTTATGAATATTAATTAGGTGTATAATTAATTAGGTGAATAATTAATTAGATGCATAATTAATAAGACGAACATTAGTTAGATGAAGAAAACAGAAAACAACGCCGCATCATCAGCTAAAACATTAAGTACATCAACTACATCAGCCACAAGCCACAAATACAGTAGCCACAGCCACAGTAGCCACAAACCAGGTGCGACAGCGTCCACAAGAGCCCCAATGGCGGTTCCGTCATTCCAATCAGTGGTAAAGTTTTGAATGGGTTTATCTGGCAGCTTGCTCTGAATCCAACCTTCAAGTGTGTTGAGTGAAGTGTGTGTGTGTGTGCGTGTGTGTATGTGTGTGTGTGTATGTGTGTGTGCGTAGTGTGTGTGAGAGAGTGTGTGTTTGTAATTTAAATTCTGTGAAATGTTTTCATATGTTAAAAATGAAAAAAACCAATAAAGACACTAACAAAAAATGAAATGAATAAACTAGCCAACCAACCCAACAACTTCTGTTTGGGAGTTTTATCCGGTTTAGACGGATCGTAATCGTCGCCATCCCACATTGGCATAGAGATGGAGTAGTGAAGGATTAGGGTCCAGATCAGACCAAGGATCAGCTTCAGTTTGTGGTCCACTATATCCGTACTGTCTGTAGGTTGTTGTGACGTAGTTGTGACGTAATGGGAATAATTTCACGTAAAATGCGTGTGTGTCTGTTTGTGTGTGTGTCTACGTGTGTGTAAGCGTGTGTGTGTGTGTGTGTGTGTGTGTGTGTGTGTGTGTGTGTGTGTGCGTGTATGTGTTTGTGGACTTTTATGATATAGAAAACGATTGTCTATATTTACATTGAGAAATATAAATAAGCACTTGAAAAACTAATTGATGGTTGAGAGATGGAGAAATCTTTTGAATGAATGAATGAATGAATGAACGAACGAACGAACGAACGAACGAATGAATGATTGAATGAATATTTATTTTTAATAATATTACTTCACTAAATAACTAATTATACTATCTGTCAATTAAATTATTTGTTCATCTATAAATCTTTTAATTAAAAATTAATACGTTTGCATACATACCCCAAAGTTACTCAGACACAGGGAAACAGCAAACCAGAACACATGTGTGTGGTGCGTGTGCGTGTGTGGGAGAGAGAGAGAAATAAAGAGAGAGAAAGAGAGAGAGAGAGAAATAAAGAGAGAGAAAGAGAGAGAGAGAGAGAAAGAAAGAGAGAGGGAAGATAACGTAACGCTTAGAAAATTATACATACAATATGCATGTATGTATAATGGTTTCTATTTTACATTATGTATATATGTTGGCATATGTGTATATGTATATAAACATATAAAATATATATATATATATGTGTGTGTGTATGTATGTGTGTTCGCGTCTGTGTGTGGTTTTCCTGAGTTGTTGTTGTTTTAATTAAGAGATTTAAATTTTCGCAAATATGTTACACACAAACACATGTGTGTGTGTGTGTGTGTGTGTGTGTGTGTGTGTGTGCGTGCGTGCGTGTGTGTAATGAAAGAAAGAAAGAGAGAAAGAGAGAGAGAGAGAAAGAGAGAGAGAGAGAAAGATAAAAACAACTTTTACCAATATATGCATATCATTTGTATTATCCTCATAGTCATTCTATTTCTGGCTATCATCACCTCCATCATCATCATCGTCGTCATCGTCATCATCATCATCGTCATCATCATCATCGTTATAATCATAATAATAGTAATATTGCGGACCGTATACAATTGAATTTAGTCAAGGCCAAATAACACTTGTATGGAAACAAACTGAAACATTGTAAACGAATGCAACAACAACGACGAACAACAACAATAACAACAACAGAAACAACAACAACAAAGAACAATAACAATACAACAACAACAACAACAAAGAACAATAACAATGCAACAACAACAACAGCAAGACAGCAAGAACAACAACAAAGATTAATACAAAAACAATACAACAACAACGGCAAGACAACAAATAACATCAAAAAACATTGCAACACTCTCACAACAAAAACAACTACCACCACTATCCACTATCAAGAAACATCACAAAGACAAACAAAATAATAACAATAACAATAATAATAATAACAATAATAATAATAATAACAATAATAATAATAACATTAACAAAACTTTTTTCATCTTCATAATTTGATTAAAAACAAAATGTATCTTTTATCCAGCTAACAGACGAGCGAAGCTCTCATTTAAGAAGCAAGAAAATGCAATATACAAACTTTAAAAATATACAAAAGGATGCCATATTACGATATACAAAACATACAAAAGTTACGAAATACAAATTTGGAAAAATATACACCAAAATACATACAAAAATATACAATCACAAATTATTATTAAACCATAAAAAAAAAACAAAAATTCGATTACCAACACGAAAAGACGCACAAAAAATACAAAATATACAAATGCAACACAAACAAACAAACGCATACAAACCCATACATACAAAAAAACCAACATACAAAAGCCAACGAACCTATATTAACGATCTTTATTCCCTCATCTACCTCTAAAAACTTCAGGCACATGGTAACATTCTCCAACTTTTGAGTCCTAAAATTCGGTCGCCTGTTATACTTCTGAAATTTCTTCCCCGACAAGACCTCAATCAAACTAAGGAACCTCAACCCGTCGGAAAGGTCATACTCAAGGTCAGAAACGTTCTTGTTGACCAGCTTCAAATGCTCGTTGGCCCATCTCGTAAAGGTATTCTTCTGGATAAGTTTCCATTGAGCGTCTTCTGCTAGTTCTCTCTCAGTGGCCGGCATTTCTTCCTCGTCGTTCTCATCCGTGTAGTCGTAGTAGTAGTTGCTGCTGTCGTAGTTGTAGTTGCCGCTGTCGTAGTTGTTGTTGTATTGGTATTGTTGTTGTTGTTGCTGCTGCTGTTGTTGTTGCGGGTCGGTCGGCGCATTATAATAATAGGGCACGCCCCCTTGTCCATTTTGTTGAATATTCATGACTCTTGATTGGCTGGCTGGTGAGTTGTTGTACTGGAAAATTCTGTTCAACCGTCTGAATGAGTGAGTGAATGTTTAACTAATTGGAATAAATATACTGGTACCACTACCAAACTGCGGATAATAGAAGCAATAATTATACTTATAATAGTAATAAATGGACATAATTACGTGTTTATTGCCATTTTTTATTACTGATAATAAGTGAACTGATATGTATGTGAGATATTTAAATGTAAGAGTAGCTAATTAAAGAGATTTGAGAAAAAATTATATAAATACATATCCGATTCGATAGATATTACATACATAGAAACAGTGTGTGTTTGTGTGTGTGTGTACATATATATCTAGATCTATACCTATATCTAGACTTATATTTATATCTAATTCATACACATACCTCCAAGAGTCTAATTAATTTGATTTTATGCATAAGTACAGAGCAGGGGTATAAATAGCCGAGTTGTACTTTTATAAGTATGCGTATAAATGTATAACAATGTGTGTCTGTGTGTGTTTTTGTTTGTATGTATATATATTTGTGTGTTTGTTTGCGTGTGTTTGTTTGTATGTGTTTGTGTGTGTGCGTGCAGTAGCGTTTTATTTAATTAGGAATATACGAATGTCTGGTAATATATTAATAAAATTTATACGTTCTCCCGTTCTTTCAATTATTCATTCTTTCATTTTGTTTATTTATTTAATTATTAATTCATTCATTCACTCACTTAAACATTTTTTGATTCATGGATTTAATTAGTTTTTCATACACTCATTCACTCACTCACTCACTCACTCACTCATTTATTCATTTATTCATTCTTTCATTCGTTCATTCATCTTTGCAGGTAACAATAGGACTTTGATCGATTGAATGAGTTGCCAAACGCTGATAAGTTAATATTAATTATTCTATGAACTATTTAATTCGCTATTCCTAAATATTCATTTAATGAATTATCATAAATGTTAATTCATTAAATTAAATTAATTTTATTTACATAGAATTAACTCGAAAAATAAAAAAACAAATTAATGAAATCTTTAATCCTGTGTTAGAAACTGCAAAATAAAAAAAGCAGAACTTATTACAAATGTCATGAATTATTATTATTGTTATGAATTATTATTATTGTCATTATTAGTAATTATAACATTAATAATTAATATTATACTATATTTTATCTACACTGTAACAAATAAATTCATTATATAGAATTATAAACAGACTACGAACCTAAGACCTTTTATTTATTATAAATAATAAGACTGACAATGAATTTATTAATTAGCTATGCAATTAATTAACTATCTAATATATTGATTCTTAAGATTAAGTTTTTTCGCTAGTTATTAAAATTATTACCACTGTTGTTATTATTATTATTATTCTTATTATGAATATTATTATTATTATTACTATTACTGGTAACGCTATTCAACCGGAAGAAGCTCGACGAATTGCGATTTAAATCCACTTTTTGATGAGAATTCTACTCGAAATTACTCGAAAATAAATTACAAACGATGTGGAAATTAATATTTATTCCTCGTGGAAAGATTATTCCGCTAGGTTTCCCAAACGTATCCAAAACGTCAACAACAACAAAACAGTTCACTTCTATATTCATCATCTGGTATATATATATATATATATATATATATATATGTATATATATGTATAAATATATATATATATGTATATATATTGGTATATACCTTTATATCTAACTTGTATTTTTGTTGTTGAAGTTGTAGGTTGAACGAGAGGAATCATTTGCATTGTCTGTGCGTTGTGTGTGTGTGTTTATATAAAGATGCAGACACGCACATAAACACAGACAGGCAAACACTCACTCACACACACACACACACACACACACACACACACACACACACACACACACATATATAAATATACCGTAACACATATACATACATATTCTTATGTACAGGCATTCTGTATGTATTCATACATGCTAAATTATGTGTGTTAGTATGCATATACATTTAAACTTATACGTACACAAATACACATACACACATACAAGCACACATGATGTATATATATATATATATACATACAAACACACATACACAAACATACAAGTTTATAATGAATTATCCTGTGAATACATCTTTACGCACATACATTCAGATGATAATTAAATGCCTCGAATACCTCTATGTTAGATTTTTGTATAAATTATGTGTGTGTGTGTGAGTGTTTGTTTGTGTTTGTGTATTTATTTATGTACTATTTTACATGTTTTATTGTTTTAATTAATAAACTGTTCAACGTTGTAATTCATTCGTTTGTAAGAAACAAAATTGATGATGATGACGATGATGACGACGACGACGATGATGATTTGACGACGATGATGACAATGATAGCAATAACAACAACAACAACATTAATAATAATAATAATAAGAAGAAGTAGATTGAAATTTTTACTTATCAAAACTTTTGAAAGCTAGTTAGCGAACTAAGAGACGAGGATGATGGCGTTTTTTTAATATGAAATGGGAATTCATCGAAAATAATAAGAATAATAATAACATATATTTTATTATTATCATTAAAATGTTAAAGCCAAAAATTAATAAAACTTTTGAAATGTTGTATGTACATCATCGGCTTCTATCATATCCGAGTCTCTCCCTTCTTTCTCATTCTCTCTCTCTCTCTCTTCCTTTCGTTTTTTGCTCTCTCTCTTTTCCTCTCACTTTCAAGTCACTATCTCACCCCCAGAACTTTTTGCAGCATTAGAATGGGAATGTTTGTTGTTGGTTGAATCTGCTCGATGTTGCTGCTGCTGCTGTTAAAAATCTGCTTTGCTGGTGTCTGTATGTATGTGTGTGTGTGTTTGTGTGTGTGCCTGTAAGTGTGCGTGTGTGCGTCTGTATGTGAGGTTATTTGCAAGTAAGCTTAATCATTTCTGAATTCATATCTAAAGAATGGATGCAATTTACAAATGAATATGTTAGAATAATCGAATAATAGTAAATTTATTGAAACAATTCTCGGGGAGAATATGGCGATGTTGGATCATCATGTGTGTGTTTGTTTGTGTATGTGTTTGTGTACGTGTGTGCAGAATTTTGTGTTTAAGTAGTGTTGCCTATCTATGTACGTGCGTTTAACAGCAGATTTGTCTTAGTTTCGAGTTTATGAACGTTTGTTTGTGTGTGTGTATTTGTGTGTGTGTATGCGTGTGTGTGTGTGTGGCATACATCTATGTATGTATATTTACGAAAATTGTTTAATTTAAGTAAGAAAGGAGAAAGAAATATCTGTGAAAAGATCAATCCCACTCTACTACACTACTCCACAACTATAATTAAAAAAGATAATAATATTATTAATAATAATATCATCATAATCAGTGTTATATCATCGTTACCATCATCACCTTGATAACCATTGTCATCTTCTCCACTCACTCACTCACTTCTATCATCATCAGCATCAATGCCAAGCCATTTATTGATGTTCACAGCGTTTTACCAGATCATCTTCAAGATAATCGTTTTTATTATTACTATTATTATCAATATTATTACTAATACTCCGTTATTATTATTATTCTTATTGTGTAGGTACTTATATATTATATATATATATATATATATATATATATATATATATATATATATATATATACATGACTTTTTTTGTATTCATCATCTTCATCATCGAAAATAAAAATAGAATTAATTAACTAATTAATTATAATTAATACAATTCATTAACTTGTTCGGGAAGAAAGAAGATAAAATAGGTTAAAAAATAATCAATAATAACAACAAAAACAACAACAATAATAATAACAACAACAACAAAAATAATAATAACAACAACAATAATAATAATGAAATAGCAAAAACAACAGCACTGACTTCTCAATCAGAGTCTGTACTTTAAAACAAAAAGTTTTGCATTTAGTTCAATTTAACGTTTCTACATCTTATCACCTAATGATAATATATTATACACACACACACGCGCGCACACACACACACACACACACACACACACATATATATATATATATATGTATGTGTGATATAACAGCTTAACATTTATATTTTTATTTATAGGAGGAATAAATACGTATAAACGTGAAGAAAAGAGCGTAAATGAATGAACGAACGACAGAATGAAGAACTAACCCCCAACCACAATATTAACTATACATAATCATATATGAATATTTTACTATACTACATTTTATTCTACTACATATTATATTATAGTAAATTATATCAATCAATCAATCAATCAATCAATCAATCAATCAATCAATCAATCAATCAATCAATCAATCAATCAATCAATCAATCTTTATTTAGCGTCCAGAGACCCGGTTCCCCGAGGTAGGACGTATATTAAATTATATTATACTATATTATATTATAGTAACAAATTTATACTCGTTCGTACGCTCCATTGAAGACATTTCACAAAGTTGTCAATCATCTCGGGGATTTCCCACAATCACAGGGTATACTACCAGCAAAATAGTATATAATAATAATAATAAATTAGAATTATTATATTATTAAAATTATTATAGATATTGCATACATGTATCATTTTCTTAAATGATGGCAAACAAAGCAAAGAAATATATTATCAACGAATAATATACACACACATACAAATACACATACATACATATCAATTCATCCATACTACACACACACACACACACACGCACGTCTATACACACACACACACGCAAGCACACACACAAACAAACAAACAAAACAAGATCTTACATAGAACATTTTATCAATCAACATGAGTTTATAAATAAATGCTACATTACAATTAATCAAACTGTTCAATTAAACCCCAGTCGCACGCACACACACACAGACACACAACATCAGCTTAAATGGAATGAGTATATATATATATATATATATATATATATATATATATATATATATATATATATATATATATAGAAGAGCATATTTTAAGCAATGATGGGCCGGAAAAAAGTTAAAATCACACGCACACAAACATTTAGAAATACACAAGGATCATCCAACATAACACGCACACACACATACACACAAAGACATACGTAGAGTGTTATTCTCTGGTTTAACCAGTCGGTTAAACTTATTCCAATAATAACAAAAGTAAAAGTCGTTATAGTAGTAGTAGTATCAGTAGTAGTAGCAGTAATTATAAGAATAATAATGATAATAATAATAATGAAAGTCATTGAACTATGATTCATTTTTATACCACATTAATTAATTAATCAATCAATCAATCAATTAATTGATTAATTAATTGATTGATGAATAAACGCAAATAACAGAATTAATAACAATAATAACAACAACAACAATAATAATAACAATTTATATTATAATTAGTAATATTATTAAAGATTTTACAATAAAACACGCTCATCTCAACTCCGTGTGCTATATTTAGATCAGCATAATCTACATAACCATCATCATTATAACTATCATCATCATCTTAACCAATCAAACAACCAAACCTCCAATCAATCAGCTGATCAATCAATCAATCAGTCAATCAACCAGCCAACCAATTAGTCAGTCAGTCAGTCAATCGACCAATTCAATAAAATATTCCGACCCGATCTTACAGCTAAGACCTGTTTCAACCATTCTTGTTTCTCGTGATAGCCAATCAATCAATCAATAAACCAACCATTCATTCAACAAACAAACCAACCAGCCAACCAATCAGCCAGCCAGCCAACCAATCCTCCAATCAATAAATCAATCAATTTTCCGGATTGTTCTTAAGTTCGGAGCCGATCTTATAACTGATGATCTTATTCCAATCTATCTTGTTCCTCGTCACTGGCAGAGCTCGCCTCAGAGCCTTGAACGTTGTGTTGGACATGTTCTGGTAGTTCTCTGATATCGCCAACTATTGGTTGGATTGATTGGTTGGTTGATTGACTAATTGGCAGATTGGTTGATTGATTGATTTAATTATTGATTGATTGGTTGGGTGATTGGCTAATTGGTTGATTGAGTTAAGTTAACCACATGATTGCAGATATAATACACTTTTTTAGCCTCATCATTCAAGCAAATTCAGTGACGTCATCGTCGTCGTCGTCATCACAAACCTGGTATTCATTTTCGGCTTGCAGGACAATGGCTGCAAACGCTTTGGCAGTGGCAGACTCATTCTGAGTGAGTGAAGAAAAATAGATGAATGAATGAATGAGTCAACAAATGAATGAATGATTGAATGAATGAAGGACCAAAGAAACGAATAGTGTACTGACGGAAATGTTCAAGGAAGTTTTGTGTTCTTTTGAAGATATCAACTGGACGTTGCCATCCTCATAGTAATGCACCTGGTCGATCCATCAATCAATCAATCAATCAATCAATCAATCAATCAATCAATCAATCAATCAATCAATCAATCAATCAATCCATCAATCAATCAATCAATTAATCAATCCATCCATCCATCAGTCAATCAATCAATCAACCAACCAACCAACCAATCGATCAATCAAAAAATTAATAAGACGGTAATTAAAATAAATATCAATTAATTATTAATCAGTTTACATTCAATCAATGAGTTTAGTCAACCAACTAATCAACCAACTCATCAATTGAACAGTCAACCAGTCAATCAATTAGTCAGTTGACAAATCAATCAACCAATCAAACTTCTTACCTGGACTTTCATAATGCCAACAACTTCAGCAGTTGACTGACCAGGCTGTATGGCAACTGACCATTGTGATCTCCATCTGCCATTCCTGGGTAAGTGGGCATGTGTATGTTTGTATTTATGTATTGATGCATGTATGAGTGTTTGCATCTGTATGTTTACGTCACTGTGCCTGTACTTGTTTGTGTGTGTGTATGTGGTGTGTGTGTGTACAAACGAAGCAACAACAATCCACCAGAAATTCTTAGGGTTGAACTGATGACTCTCGATGCAGGCAATTATGATATTGGCCCCAGCATCGCCCGACTTTCCATAGACCGTGGCAGTCCCCAGCTTGTTGTACTGTTCCTGAACATACGTCACCGTGACAGTTTCGAATGCTCGTCTCCATTCCTCAGTTGAACTCTTCTCGCCCCGATGGGGCTGGACGTCGCTGGCCTCCTTCTTTAAGTGGTCGTATCGAAAGGATTTGCCCGAACGAGGATCAAAGAATCGACCATTCCCCAAGTCACCGTGTTCGGTTATTAGGACCTATGAGATTTTTTTTGGTGATTTGTTGTTGATGATGGTGGTGGTGGACTTGGACTAGTGACTTGCTCGTCTTCTAAATGGTATTGTTGTCTGAATGTATGATGGATGATGTCTTGTGGCTTGTTGGGATGGAGTGACAACAACAATGATCAACAGCGTACAACAACATCAGCAGCAACTACCACAACTAAATCAGCAGCAACTACCACAACTACATCAGCAGCAACTACCACAACAACATTAACAACCTGTTCTTCAATGCCCTCCAGCTTGCATGGAATGAACTGTTCTTTATTGTATTCGGCAGCAGCACTATGGAAATTTTAAATTTAATTTTAACCTATAAAAATTATTTCTTTAGTTTTTTATAAAAATATAATTAATTATTTAATTTTTGCTTTGTATTTTGTCCAGAAATCAATTTTTAATCATTTTTAGATTCAAATAGCAGAAAAATAATTTGAAATCTATATCATTGTTTGAACCTGTAAGCTTCTTCCTTCAGAATGCTGTCATCATTGACAAGTATCCTAACATCTGGGGGGTAGCATTAACAACTATTACCTAATTACAAACACTAAGAGAAAATAAACCTATGCAAAATGACAAATCATTATGAAATAAATAAAGTGCAAATCAATAAATGAATGACTCAGTGGGAGAATGAATGAATGAATAAAAGAATAAATAAATCAAAGAATGAATGATTGGATAGAAAAATGAATAAGAGAATGAAAGAATGAATAACTAAATGAATGATGCCAACCATTAAACACTTCGTTGAACTCCCCAGGTGGTGCATGTAGAATGAACGAACTGGCGATTTTACCCTTCAAAGTGTAATTAATTCTTATTAATTTTCTGAAATTAATTCATTATTTTGGCTACTTGTACTAGTTGCTAATTAATTCATTTATTTTATTAAAGTAAATTTTATTATATAAAAACTGAATTAAGTTTTTTTTTTACATTTTTTATCACTTATTTATGTTTTACTTGGCCTGAGGCCCAAATATAATGATATTCAGTTTAAGTTAGTTGAGCCAAGCAGGAGTCCAAAGCCAATTGTTATTATTTAAAAGCTAGAAGTGGAAATAAATGAATTTTCACATAAATAAATAATAAACTAACTAAACACACTCAACAGAATCAGTGTCATGCATGCATCCAATCATAAATTAGATTAACCATTAAATTAAGATCAAAAATTTAATTAAATTTAAAATAAAATTATAAAAAAAATATTGTGGTTGATCCCATGAAAGTATCCTGATCAAATTTACAAATAGGAAGAAATTAGTGGGTAACATAGAAATTGGAGGTGAGATTAATTTATAAAATAGAAAAAAAAATCTACCATCAGTTAGATAAAATTAGAGATTGACAATATCCTTATATGGTCACATCCTTACTCTTACTGGGTGTGATAAACAGGAAGTACATGCAATTTACTTTCTACAAAACCACCAAACAAACCCCGAAATATCCTAATCAAAAACTTGAAACTTCATAAAATAATAAGTTGAATCGTAGTTTTGATAAGTAAAATCGGTAAAATCCTACTAACTTTCTCAGGGCTCTTCATAGTTTTCGCCATTTTTGTTGACTAAAAATTGTTTCGATATCGTTGCAGGCGGCAAAGAACTAAAATTTTTAGGAATTAAAAAACTTATTTTGATAAACTAAACATACATTTATCTGAATAAAAGATTATATTTTTGTTGAAAAAACTTTCAATTTAGTGATTAAAAACGTTCAAAATTAACAATTTTTTAAATACCCAAATAAGCAAATAAAACTGATGTTTGTAGCCTTGGTTTAATTGATAAATTTGACATTTTAAAATTTAAATCAACCGAATACATGAATGATTTCTTACAGTTTGTTCAAAGTTGTCAGTCCACATCTCTTCAATCTTTCCTCATATGAAATAATATGTTAATCAAATAATCATTTGTATGTATTTTTTTGGGTATTTTTATTTGTCATGCCGGTTACGTATGTTATTTGCAAATTAAAATTGTTTGAGGTTTTCTTTTTTTCTTTTTTTTATTTATTTTATTCAAAGTCATCCATTTTTATTATTCTCCATTACGTTTTCGTTTAAATTAGATTCGCCTGAATTTTTCAACATCAGCAACGACATCAATAACAAAAATCAACAACTAATTGAGCAACAACAACATCAACAAAAATAACAATAATAATAACAACAACAACATCGACAAAAACAACAATAATAACAACAACAACAATATCAACAACCACAACCGCGGATGTAATAGCAATAATTTTATTATCATTGCAATGTAATGTTAATTCACCCATTAGAACATTAAATAAATTCTGAAATTAAAAAAAAAATTTTTTCAAAAAGAAAATTTAAGTAGAAGTAGTAGTAGTAACTACATCAGTACCAACAGCTTCAGTAGCAATAGTTATAGCAGTAATGGTAGTAGCAGCAACAGCTGCGGAAGTGGTAGCAGCAGTAGTTGTAGTAGTGCTTGGTTTGTCTGTCTGAAATTAAAAACACACTTTTCGCATGCCACACAAATATTGAAGAAAAAAATTTTTAAGCAAAAATTTTTGGTTTTTCGTTTTTCTTAAAATGTTTCATTTTTCTATTTTTCCTTCAAGCATTTAATATATGAATTCCTATGTCAAAATCTCAAGTTATTAATGTGTGTGTGTGTGCTTGTGCGTGTGTGTGTGTAAATATATGAATTTGTGTGCCAAAATTCAAAATTTTCAAATTCATATATGTGCATGTATGATCATAATAATGTGTGTGTTTGTGTGTGTGTGTTTGTCTTTGTGTGTGTGTGTGTGTGTGCTTGTCTGTATGTGTATGTAAATATATAATGGGAGGTATAATTAAAATAATGGAGAATTTTAAAAAATGACCGTGATGTATAAAAAGCGATGAATTTGAAATACAAATTTTCGTGCAGTTCTTTGTTTTTCTTTTATCTGTAAGCAACAGAGCGCCCAAAAATGGAAAATGAATGGATGGATGGATGGATGGATGGATGGATGGATGGATGGATGGATGGATGGATGGATGGATGGATGGATGGATGGATGGATGGATGGATGGATGGATGGATGGATGGATGGATGGATGGATGGATGGATGGATGGATGGATGGATGGATGGATGGATGGATGGATGGATGGATGGATGGATGGATGGATGGATGGATGGATGGATAGATAGATAAATAAATGAATAAACAGACGATTGTATGATTGGATAGTTACATAAAAATCTCATAGGCCACATGTGTACACACAGACGGCTAAATTACACCACTTCCACTACAACTCCTCCTCCTCCTCCTACTACTAATACTACTGCTGCTGCTGCTGCTACTACTACTTCTACTACTACTACTATAATACTACTGCACATTTACTGCTATTTATACTAGGCAAATAGCCATCTGTGCCAGGCAGAGTATTGCAAATTTATAGGTAAGGGAGGCGAATTAATAAGAGGAATAAAACAACATTAACAACAACAAAAACAACAACAACAACAACAATAATAATAATAATAGCATTAACAGTAATAATAATAATATCAATAGCAACAAAATCCAAAAAAACTTAATCCATTTTTAATATGATGAAACACAAAGACATCAACAACAGCAACAATAGCAACAATAGCAACAGCAACGACATCAGAAATGACGTCATTATGAAAATTTTTGCAGCGCCTAACATCTTCCGCGATATAGCATAACATAACAACAATCATATCTCCAGTGACATACATTTCATGTCCTGGTTCGTATGCACGCTTGCGCCAAAATCTTTTTTAAGCCCTGGTGTCAAAAATAAATTTAGATACGAAACTAGGTTACGATCATCATCATCACCGTCGATGTGAAACTAGGTCATGATCATTATCACTAAAGACTCACAATGTACAGTGGTCACATGAAAATTTGCTTTCATTTAATTACCGAATATACGTCAGCGCTTGTTTACATCGGCAGGATTAGTGTACTTCCGGCTTTGAGATAATCAGAGATGGGATGGACAATTTCATTTAAAAGGTCAATCCCTGAATCAATACATCATTACTTGGCGCTTTATTTTAAATTTAAAATACATCTATCTATCAGCAAAACCTCAATTGATCGCTTTTAGCCCCTAAAAAAACAAAACAAACACACACATACACACACAAACACACACATACACACACATATACACACACACATACACACACATATATTATTGCTGTGACACTTGAACGCTCGTTACGACAAACTCCAATGTTATAACTTCAATGATCTCCATATTTCCAGCTTGTAGCTTCCAACGATCGTCAAGTGTTTGTAATTGCGTACGTTCAAGATTTCAGATACTAAAGCAGCTGTGATAATGGCAACTACTTCTTCAATGGCAAACTTGGTTGAACGTTCATTTGAATGCCAACAGCAATAGAAACATTAATCTAATTTAAATAACGACACAAATTGCAATTACGACTTCGCTCCAAACCTCGCCACAAGCATCGCTATTCTCTCTGTTGCGGGAATGTTGAATGAAATTATTTTTCTTTCATCATCATCATCAACGTCATGTCATCATCTTAATTAAGCATTGTCACTATTATTGTAGTCATAATCGTCAGCAAAGTTGCACTTTGGTTTATCGTCCCTATCCTCATCACATCGTCGTCGTCATCGTCGTCATCATCGTCATCATCATCATCGTCTTCTTCATCATCATCGTCTTCTTCATCATCATCGTCTTCTTCATCATCATCGTCTTCTTCATCATCATCGTCTTCTTCATCATCATCGTCTTCTTCATCATCATCATCTTCTTCATCATCATCGTCTTCTTCATCATCATCGTCTTCTTCATCATCATCGTCTTCTTCATCATCATCGTCTTCTTCATCATCATCATCTTCTTCATCATCATCGTCTTCTTCATCATCATCGTCTTCTTCATCATCATCGTCTTCTTCATCATCATCATCGTCTTCTTCATCATCGTCGTCATCATCATCGTCGTCATCGCGGTCTGTTAGCGTCAAGAATTTTTTCTTTAGAGTATTACGTGTTACTTATAGCGAGGCTACGCAAGGGTACCGCAAATCAAACGCCATTTTGTATGTTTGTTTGTTTGTATGTATGTATGTATGCATGTATGTATATGCGTGTATGTATGTTAGTTTTTTTGTTTGTCTAATTTTGTATTTTGATGTGTTTATAAATTGACTTTTTTTGTTGGTTTGTTAAAATATTTGAAGCAACAGCAGCAGCAGTAGCAACAACTGCAGAAATAGTAATAGTAGTAGTAGTAATAGTAATTGTAGAAAAGCAGTAGTGGTTATAGTTGATGTTTGTTGTTGTTGTTCAGGATGTCGGTATGCATTTGGCAACATTACACGGGTCGTTGGAAATTTGTTTTATTTAGAAGTGCTGTTGTTGTTGTTTGTGGTTGTTGTTGTTCGTTGTATTGTTGTTGTTGTTGTATTGTTGTTGTTGTATTGTTGTTGTTGTTGTTTGTTGTATTGTTGTTGTTGTTTGTGGAGTTGTTGTTGATGTTGTTGTTTATTTTTAGTGGCTGTTGTTGTTTGTGGCGTCGTTGTTGTCGCAGTTGTTGTTTGTTTGCGGTTGTTGTTTGTATTGTTGTTGCAGTTGGTGTTGTTGATGCTGTTGTTATTAGATAATAACTATGAAGATATGGTATTAATGAAAATGATGATGGAGGAATAAAAAATGATCATGACGATGACGATGATGATGAAATGATGACAATCATAATGACGACGACGACGTAATGGAAGTGACTTCATTGACGACGACAACGACGTAATGGAAGTGACTTCATTGACGACAACGACGACGTAATGGAAGTGACTTCATTGACGACGACGACGACGAAAGGTCATCATGTGCATGCGAAACGTTTTTTATTTTTATTGTGAGGTGAGGAGTTTCGCGTTATATATTGACGTATTTATGACGTCAGCGATTTTATGCCAGGCTTATTTACGAGTCGCTTTTTGATTTTTTAACATTTAAAAACATTTTTTTTTTTTATTTACCGCCATCATCCTCAAATTCATCATCATCATCATTACAAAAATCATTTTCATCATCATCATCTTTTTCAATATCATCATCAACAACAACGCGGCATCATCATAGTCATCATCACCAACACCACAATCAATAAAATCATCATCGTCTTCATCATCACTACCACCACCATTACCATCATCATCATCATCATCATCTTCTTCTTCTTCTTCTTCTTCTTCTTCTTCTTCTTCTTCTTCTTCTTCTTCTTCTTCTTCTTTACCATCATCTTCATCATTAACGGCAACAACAACATCACCATCATAATCATTACCACCGCTGTCATCACATCATCATCATTGTCGTCGTCGTCATCAGCATCATCACTGACCTTGCGGTCAATCAAAGTATTCATCTTTTTTAAATCCCAATTTTGCTTTGACGTCAAACAAATGTCATAGAAGAAGATGACGACGACAACGACGACGATGATGATAACGATTGCAATGATGACGATAACGATGATGATAACGTAGACGATGATGGGACCAAACAGGAAAAGGAAAAAGGTTAAAAAGATGAAAACACGGATTAAGTGAATTTTATCATATCTCCTGTTAATCTTTATTTCTTTATTGTTTCAGTTTATCCGACTGAGATCACGTTAGCCGACGGTGGCGTATTGCATTGTTTTGTATCTTATTGTCACCATGGTTTTGTTGGACTCTTTTTCTTTCTCTCTCTCTCTCTCTCTCTCTCTCTCTTTCACTCTCTCTCTCTCTCTCTCTCTATCTTTATCTCTCCCTCTTTTTTCGATCTCTTGCTTCTTTATCTCTATTCATCATTTTTTCTTTATTTTTGTCCCTCCGTTTGTCTTTCTTGCTTTACTTCTTTTTTTCATTTTCCATCTTTCACTCTTTCTCTCTCTCTCTTTTTCTCTTTTTTCTTTCTCTCTTTTCTTCTCTCTCCATTTCTCTCACTTTCCACTCATGTTCTTACTTTTTTCCATACCACCACCAAGGTAACGATTTTAGCTCTGCACTAGTCAGGCTCCTTAAAATTATTCATAAGCATTATGAAAATAACATTGATAATATATAATAATAAGCTGAATAAATAATAAATCATGATAACAATAACAATACGATGGCATGAACATGATGCCGAAATGATAATCTAGATATAAATATGATAATATATAGTTTAATTAGGAGGTTTAATTTACATTATAATGTATAAACGCCAGCCAGCAACTAAAAAACATTCTTTGTAAGGAAGACGCGCCTACATTTACACACACACGCACAAACACACACGCACACACATCCACACGTACACACACACGTACACACACATTCACACACACGTATACACACATTCACACACACGTACACACACACTCGCGCACACACATTCACACACACGTATACACACATTCACACACACAAACACACACACAAGCACATACATAAGAATACTCACGCACTCGCTTGAATTTTGCTTGGATTTTAAAAAAATTAAACGGAAATGGAAAATAATGAAGAGATGAGTTTGGGGAAAAGAGAACAAGCAGAGAAAAAACAAGAGGAGAAAGAGAAGAAGAATAAAAAAAGTGAGAGAAAGAGAAATAAATGAACTAAGGATCAAAAAAAGAGGACAACTCGCCATAAATGCAAATACATGGAAGAAGATTGCAAAGTAAAAAATTTAAATAACAAAAAACAAACTGAAACCGAATTTAAAATACGAGCCAAAAAATCTCCACAAAAACTGGAAGAGAGAAGAAGAAAGAAAGAAAGAAAAAAAGAGAAAGAGCGAGAGAGAGAGAGAGAAAAAGGTGAAGTAAGGTGATACATAATGTAATAGTCTGTCGGCACGTTCACACGAACCAAGCAAGGACGCCAGGCTCTAAAGTTAAATAAATAAGTAAAGAGATAAACGAATGCTTGACCTAACCATGTAAGTAATGTGACGTCATGCATCACGTGATACAAACACGTTAACGCGACATCTTCTGATCGTTAATCTTTTGTTTTGGAAAGAGAGAAAGAGAGAAAACGAAACTTGGGAAAAATGAATAAAAATAAACTGAGATGAGATAAAATGACAAAAAGTTATTTCAAAGCAACTTTTTCGTAATTTTCTAAAAAAAAAATTAGTCATCAAATTTATTTTTTTGATAATTTTCAGTGAAAAATTATTTTTTCACCAAAAATAAAAAAAGTTTGAAATGAAAAAGGAAAAGAGGAGGTAGGTATTTTTTCATGTAAATTGATACAAAATTTTCAAAAAATGATCAAACAAAGGACTTGAATTGCGTTCTTTATAGACAGCCTTTTTGTGCAAAACACATACACAAATGCACATACACATAAATACGTGCACACATATATACACACACATATAGGCACACACACATAAACACACACGCATCATACATCTTTATATACACATACACACACACACATACACATAAACACACACGCATCATACATCTTTATATATATATATATATATATATATATATATATATATATTTGTATTTACATCTACCTAAAATGAAAGGTGATAGATAAACACGTACGTACGTACATACATACATACATACATACATACATACATACATACATTACATACATAGATACATATATGCATACATACATACACATATACATACATTATGAGACCATTGTATGACAACACAAAGGGGAACATTTTCCTATAAATACATTAAAAATGGTACCGAAAAAACCGTATAGGTATCTTTGCATGTATTCATCTAGGTATTTAGCTCTTATGTAATGTATTTAGTTATTAAATATGTAGATACCTAAGTAGCAGAATATATTTTTCTTATCTAAATTAAATTTTTTTATTTTTGTAAAAAAAACTAATAAAATTACTAAAGGGTAAATAATTTAATGAAATTTGGGCAAAGTTAATTAGTTCATTCATTACAAATTGATTAATTAAATCATTAACTAATCAATTAATTATTTTTAATATTAATTAAGTAATTTTAAAAACTTTCTAAATTTTTATAAATATTTACATAAACACTCTTTACTTATTTGTAACCTTCCTATAATAATAAAAATAATATTTTTATTATTATTACTTCGATTATTGTTATAATTATTATTTAGATTGTTATATATTGTTATATATATATATATACATATATATAATACGTAATTATAGATTGTTTGGCATAATTTTAATAAGGTGAGTCATCATAAAGTTATTATTATTATTATTGTTTTTAATAAATATTAAAACAAATAATAATTATAAGATAATAACAACAACAATAATAATAATAGTAGTGTAGCAGTAGTAGTAGTAGTAGAAGTAGTAGTAGTAGTAGTAGTAGTAGCAGTAGTAGTAGTAGTGGCAGTAGTAGTGGCAGTAGTAGTGGCAGTAGTAGTGGCAGTAGTAGTGGCAGTAGTAGTGGCAGTAGTAGTGGCAGTAGTAGTGGCAGTAGTAGTAGTTGCAACAATATTGGTAGCAATAGTAGTAGTAGTAGTAGTAGTAATAGTTTAGGATGACAAAATCCATATCAGCATTTTCGTGATGCAAATGTTTCTTTTTCCACCTCCATTGTCGCACATCCGGCATAATCAACCTAGCGGCGTGACGTCATTAATAATAGCAATAACAATAAATAACAACAATGATAATGATGTTGATGATGATGGTAATAATAATAATAATAATAATAATAATAATAATAATGATGATGATGATGATGATGATGATGATGATAATAATAGTAATAGTAATAACAATAATTAATAATAATAATGAACTAACAAACGAGTAAATACAACAGTAATAACAACAAATAACAACAACAACAACAATAATTATATTAACTATTATTAATAATAAAAATGATAATAGTTATAATAAACAAGAAAACAGAAGAGGCTGTTATTTTTTTACACCGTGTCTCATACAAAACTCATTTCCTCCCCATTGTCACAATATTTAAGCCAACTTTTTTGTCATTCCCGTCACACCGGATCATTATCATTACCGCCGTCGTCATCATCATCATCATCATCATTATCATTATCACCTTAGTTGTTTTGATGGTTATGATATCATTCGTTATTATCATCTATATCATCTCTTTTTATCATTGTTATTATCATTTTCAAAATAATAATAATAATCATCATCGTCGTCGTCGTCATCGTCATCATCATAGAATCATAATCATCATAATAGGCACCATCATTACGAGCGATCGATGGAATGCACTGATTAACCTTCTACATGACGCAACTCCGTGGCGACAATATACAAACATACATACATACATACATACATACAAACACACATACATGCATACATACATAGAGAGACAACTAGACGAACAAACAGACTGACAGACAGACAGACAAACATAAACAGACGCACCTATAAACTGTGGTTATTATGAACGCCAACAGAGTCCTTCACTGTTAATTAAACTCTTTAATTTGACGATTAATTTAATTATTAATGTTCAGTTGCTAATTATGAATAACACACACACACATACACATACACATACACACATACATAAATTTATACACACAAACACACACGCATATACAAAACTACAAAACATTACAAAGTATTAAAACAAAAAACACACAGATGCCCGATTTCAATAAATCAAACAAACCTCAACTGAAAAATCGTTTTGTTTCATGTGTCATTTTTTTCTAGACTCTAGTTTCTTCCATTTTATCTTCAGATAGGTTTTGTCTCGTTTCGACATATCTCGTCTCGTATGGTTTATTCTTTGTTTCGTTTTGTTTCGTAACGAATCCGTATTTTTTTCTACAAATTAACAACTGCAGGAGTTTACGCTTGTCTTTTATTATTGTTATTCTTCTTCTTCTCCTTCTCCTTCTCCTTCTCCTTCTCCTTCTCCTTCTCCTTCTCCTTCTCCTTCTCCTTCTCCTTCTCCTTCTTCTTCTTCTTCTTCTTCTTCTTCTTCTTCTTCTTCTTTTCCTAAAGGACATTTATTTTACTCATTTATGTTATTGTGTTATTTTTTGGGTTATTTACTATGTTATTTCTTGTTTTATGGAAGTCAACCCTAGATAAGCATTTATTGCTAAGCTGACTCTTTCACTTTATTTTTTGTGAATAAATGGAATTTTAAAAAAAATTATTAAATAATTGAACTGATCAATGCGTTCATGTGTTTCGTAATTGGCTTCAGATGATACTCTTCATTTTTGAGACTTCAAATTTTTTTCATTTGTTTTTTTTTTGTTTCATTTCTTCCGTCTGTCTATTTCTATCTGTTTGTCTGTATGAATGTATGTCTGTCTGTCTTTTTGTCTATCTATGTCTAATTTTATTTTTCGTTTTACCTTTCTCAGAACATCCCTGTCTGTCTGTTTGTTTGTCTATTTATATCTGACTATATCTTGGTCAATTTTACTGAATATCTGTCTATATGTCTATCTAAATGTCTGTCTGTCTGTTTGTCTGTCTGTCCCTATCTCATCATTCTTCTTCATCATCCTCATCATTGTCGTCATCATCGCCATCATCGCCTGTCATAAACTGCAAAAGAGGGAAGATAGGAGATCTCCAGTTGTAATTGAATTTCCTTGAAATTCACGAACATTACGCTGTTTATATTCATTCATTCGTTCGTTTATTCGTTCGTTTATTAATTCGTGTTTTCGTTTTCACTCATTCATTTGTTTGTTTGTTTGTTTGTTTGTTCATCCATTCGTTAGTTTGTTCGTTCGTTTATTTAAAATACGTGTAAACCCACAGACCGCACTTAAATAACAGGTAAAAGTAGCGAAGAAGACCCATAAAAGTAATTAATTTTTAATGACCCCGATACATTTTTTATTATTTTTACTATTAATTATCATTATTATTATTGTTGTTTTATTTTTATTATTTTATTTTATCTTCCAATTAACTAAAAAGCTTTTAAACTGTTGAAACCGAATTAAAATACAAACACACATATGTTATTTCCACTGCTTAATCTCCGATACATGAAGCGCAACTTTCGCTATATTAACTAATTTGAAAACCAAAATAATTTTGCAATACAAGTTTGCAAAACTTTACTCCCAATAACAATTTCGTATCTAAATATCAGTAGAAAATTTTGACAACTCCAACCTTTAACCCAATGAAATGAATTCATACAAGCCTAAAAATTTGAAAACGTATGATCTACAACACGAATGGACATCTAAAAATGAGAGATTGCTTGCTATACATCTGAAAAATGTTAGGATGACCCTAGCGAAGAATATTGAGAAAGCAAAGAGATTTGCATTTGACATATCTTCATGTTTCCGATCTATAAATCTGTCAATGTTTAGATATGAAGTTGTGTTAAATAAAATGAATTATATTTTGTTTGTTTAGTTTTATTCATTACAAATGATAATTATTTATATGAAAAAACAAAAAGTTAGATATCATAGTTAACGCTATCATCTTCGGCCCAAAAAATTATTTTTCAACACAAATTTTCATAAAAGAGAAACTTTCCTTCATATAAGTTTGTTAAGAAATAAAATGGCAGAAAAAAGCTTAGAAATTGCAAAAAAGAAAATGAAGATATGAGAAAAAAATGTTCTTTTTGCACTAGAAATATGCGCCCAGCCAACTATAAACACAATGCAGGGGTACGTTTCTTTCTCTGTCCGTCTCTCTGACGGTCTGAATATCCTTCCGTCTGTCCGTCAGTCTAATTATCTAAGAGTTTGTATGTTCGTCTGTTTGTCTGCCTGCCTGTACCATTCAATTTTGTATTATTATAGTAAGCCTATTGATTCAATTTTTGGTTTTTGTTTCAAAACAGAGATACAAAATTTAGAGAAATTTATTCACCCTGCTCTCCACAAAAAGGGCAAACTTTATTTTTTTTAAATATTTTTTATTTATTCGTTATTTTCGAATCATCTGCGTGAGGTTTTTGTTTGGAAACGATACGATACGATATTGAAATTTTGCCTCCAATGAAACGAAACAACACCAGATATAACGAGACATAACGAGATATAACGAGACATAACGAGATATAACGAGACATAACGAGATATAACGAGACATAACGAGACATAACGAGAGGCAGATGCTTGTTATTTTCATTAACTTAAAAAAATTTATATTCAATTCATTGGATGTTAAACCATCAAATGAAATCAATGCCCTTATTAAAAGATAGAGACTCAAGTGCATAGAGAAAGGAAGTTGGAAGTGTCTTTCCTTTCGTTCTCTCTCTCTCTCTCTCTTTCTCTCTCTCTCAATCTCTCTCTTCCTCTTATCTCTTCTCTCTTTTCTTTTTTTACGTTCTTTTTTCTTCTCTTTATACAATTACATATTATTCCCATTCTCATATTTTTTCAAACTCTCTCTCTCTCTCTCTCTCTCTCTCTCTCTCTCTCTCTCTCTCTCTCTCTCTTCCTTTCTTTTTCTCTTCCTCTTTCGATACGAACGAGTTTCTCTTATTTTTTCTCTCCGTCTCTTTCTTAATACATGTTTCTTTCTGCTCAACATATCGTTTCAAAGTGAAAACATAATAATCTACATGCGTGCAGATGAGCATAGGTGGATATTTTTTAAAGAATTCTTACAATTTTAATTACAACCCTGGATCTTTTTTTTATATCAAATTTGAAGTTACTGTTCAAAAACTTTTAAACATTTATTTAGAAATGAATGAAAACATCCCTTTATATTTGTGTAAAAATACTTTTTATTTGAGAGCTCGCTCAGGGCGTGCGGTCATAAATAATCAAATTTTTTCGCTGAACAAGTTTTTTTTAATTTTAGTTCATTGTTTTTTTAAAACATTTCATCTTTATCTCTCTATGATTTTCTCTATCTCTTTATTTTTTTTTCTCTCCTTTTCTCATTCTCTCTCTCTCTCCTAATACTCCGTGTAGATTCAAATTTCTGGAGTTGGAATTTCTAATTTGGTTCGAACTGTGCTAAGTAAAAAGAAATAAATTTCTTGAACGTTCTGACGAAAATATAACAAAACCGGGCAATGACAAAAATCTTATTAGACATTTAGAAGAACAGCTTTTGATAAATAATTATTAAATTCTTAATCATAGAAAGTGAAGAAGTGAAATAATGTGAAATATCAAAGAGCAATTAAACAGACCATAACTTAAAAACTACCCCAACCACTACTACCACAACAACAACAACTACTACTACTACTAGTGCTACAATTATTGTGATAACAACCACTTCTACTACTACTACTACTACTACTACTACTACTACTACTACTACTACTACGACTACTACTACTAATACTGCTGCAGATGCTGCTACTACAACAGCCACAGACTCTATCTATCCTAATTTACCGGCAATGAATAATAAATTATTTGCTTATAAAATGGTATGCCTTATGCGTCTATATTTTTTATGTTTGTTTCGGTAGGTATGTGTCTGTCTGTATGTTTGTTAGTACGTGTGTATGTGTGTGCCTGTATTAATGTGTGTGTGTGCCTTCATTAATGTGTGTGTGTGTGTGTGCGTGTGTGTGTGATCTTATTAGTGTGACTGCGTTTTATTTTAGCATATAAAATAAAAAAAGTAAAAAAGAAAGAATTAGGATGAATCAGAAAGAGAAAGAGAGAGAGAGAGAGATAGAAAGATTAGAAAAATGAATGAAAAAATGAGAAATTGCGAGAAAGATAGAGAGAATGAAATAAAATGAATGAACGAAAGAAAGCCCGAGGTCCACGGACTTAATGATCTACAGAGTTTGGAAATGAAATCATGAACTATGAAATATATTTATATGCATGTTCGTTTGCACGTTTTTGTATGTACGTTCGTATTTACGTTTTTATGTTTGTGTGTATGTTTGATTGTTTGTATGTTTGTTTGTATGTCTGATTGTTTGTATGTTTGTTTGTTTGTAGGTTTGCTTGTTGGTACGTTGTATTTTTGTTTAAGCTCGGTTGTTTTATATTTATTGTTTGTCTGATCTGTAGTATGTTTGTTTAATCAAGCTTATATGGCTGTCTCTCTCTCTTTTTCTCTGTTTCACTCTCTTTCTTTCTCTATCTCTCTCTATACATAATGCATTATCGTCTTCGTGATTGGCAGTGAGAGTAGCGAAAATGCATTAGCTATCATCATCAGAAGCACTTGCAGGTCACATCATCAGCAACGATCGACACTGCAGTAATGCATTCCAACCGTAAATATACAAGCAACTGAGCAAATATACAATACACACACACATACACACACATACATACACACTTACTACACATACACATATGCACACATACTCACAAGCGCACATCAAAGATCATTCAAACAGTCATACACATACAAACTTCTTATAGACACACACACCACACAGACACACATACAAACCAAACATAAAAGAAAACACACACAAACACACACACAAACATACATACGGTCATACACCATCATATTCATTAGTTTGTTAAATGACATTCGAATTGGGATGGTGATAGCAAGGCTAATTGTATATATTCAAAATTTTTATCATCGTTACCTTTATTATTATTGTTAGTAATAGTAGTAACAGCAACAACAGTAGCAGCAGCAGTAGTGGTAGTACCAGTAGCAGCAGTAGTAATAGTAGTAGCAGTAGTTGTAGTACATGTAGTAGCAGCAGTTGTAGCAGCATTTATATCATTAGTAGTAGTAACAGCAGTAGTAGTAGAAGTAGTAGTAGAAGCAGTAGTAGAAATAGTAGTAGAAGTAGTAGTGGTAGAAGTAGTAGTAGAAGTAGTAGTAGTAGCAGTAGAAGCAGCAGCAGCTGTAACAGTAGCAGTGGTTGTAGTTGAATGAAAGATCGAACGACGAATTTTGATTGACATTTTAATGGCCGTTCCGATGATAACCTGGACATATGATGGATTGACCGTTGTCAGACGAATAGATGAACGTTCCATTTTTTTAATTTTTTTTTGTTTATTTATAATAATAATAATAATAATAATAACAATAATAGCAGAAACCTGTTGATGATGTACAGCAATAACAAAATCAACAAAGATACTAAAAACTGTAAAGGTAAAATGAACCACTGCAAAGGGGAAATCAACAACAATGACGTCACAATCAGCAAGGATGACGTCACGATCGATGGCGAAATGAACAAAAACCGCAACAACTACACTCGGAAAAATGTCAACATCTGTTGCGACTTCAACTGCGATGATGACGTCATAAACTACAACGACATAAATAATAATAATAATAATTATAACAATAATAATAATTTCAACAATCACTTCGTAAACAACTTGTTACAGTCTGTTGGCTGTAGAGTTAAATTATTTTATATTTTTTTGTTTGATAATTTGACGTCATCGTCACCATTATCATCGTCACCATCATCATCATCACCGTCATTCTTATTATTATTTTTGTTTTTCTTATTTTTGCCACCATCATCATCAGCATTACCGTCATCATCATCATCTTCTCTAACGACAACCCTGTCACGATCATCGTTATCATCAACATCATCATCGTCGTCTACGTCATCATCATCATCATTGTCACCATTTATGACGTCATCATCATCGTCACCATTAATGACGTCATCAACGTCATATTTTGATGATAGTTATTGCCGACCTGTTTACGATCAAGACGTTGAGATGCCAGTGAATCCATATGACGACGATGATGACGATGATAACAACAACAACAACAACATCAGCAACAGCAGCAATAATGATAATAATGATGATAATATAATTAAGAATGATGATAATAATAGCACTGATGACATTTCTATGCATCGAAACAGAAGAAACATAATGATGATGATGATGAAGATGATAACGGAAAAGAGTAAAAAGAAGATGATGCGGATAGAGAGAAAGAGGGAAATTATGAGAAAAAAAGAGAAAAAGATAATGATGAAAGAGAGAGAGAAGGAAATGACGTCCGTGAAAAAAAGAAGGAAAAGAATAACCTCGAATGAAAGAATGTCTCCCTCGAATTTCCGATCTAGAAGCTTGATGTTACTTCATTCATTCACTTGGTCAACATCTGATTATGCACAGATTTCAGAACCATTTTCATCTTCATCGTCATCATCATCGTCGTCACTAACAACTGCATCGTTACCATCATTGTGGTCGCTATCGAATTCTCCAAACACTGCCCCAAGTATGAACCAATTCACCTCCAACACCAATAACTCAACCAACAACAACAATGACGACGCATCAACAACAGCCACCATCAACCACACCGCCATCATCAACGCAACCACAAACGACAGCAGCGACGACAGCGGCGACAGCGGCGACACCGCCCTCAAGCGCTTCAGCGACAGATACCAACACGTGCACGGATACGCTTGCCTCATCATCTGCATCTTCGGGATTAGCACCAACCTCATCAACATAACGGTCCTCACGAGAAAGACAATGGTCAGTTCTACGAACATACTTCTAACTGCCCTGGCAATGTCTGACCTGCTGACGATGGTCTCATGCCTGCCCTATGTCATGTACTTTCATATGTACAGCACCCCGGATGAAACACAGAAGCATGGACAGGGTTAGGAGGGGTTGTCCATTAGGGGGGTATTAGAGAGGGGCTGTCCGTTAGGGGGGGAGGGTAGTTTTTTAATTGTTTGTTACCGCTGTTTGGAATGGTTGAACGGGCGGGTGTGCATTTTGGGAACTCATTCAATGTGTGCGAATTGGTATGCGTGCATGTGCCTGGATATACAACGTCATCGTCGTCATCGCCATCAGAAATGACGTCATTATCGTCATCATCGCAAACATAAACAACAACATCATCATCAAGAGCAACAGCATCATTATCAGGCCGGCCAGTTCATTGAACATGGCGCATTATTGGGGAGATTTAGTTAGCGGCTCTGCTACAAGCCAACGTTTGTTGAGGCTATTTATACCACACACACATACACATACACACACACACACACATTTTCAGTTTTTTTTCATTCTTTTATTTTTATTCCTTCATTTACGCATTCAGTCGTTCAATTAATCTCGTGATTTTTCGATAGAAATTCATCATGTTGTTTGTAAAATCTCACATTGCGTGTTCGAATAAAAACTCAACGAAGCGTATAAGGTTTTTAAATATACAAACACACACACACAAACAAACAAATATACACGCATACAAACATATGAACATACAAACACACATACAAACATACATACATACATACATAGGCATACAAACATGGGAACATACAAGTGCAGTATAAACATTCGTAATCATTCCCTGACACGTTCCAACATCAGCTTTATAACACCGATGATATTTGCCTCTATTATTTCTTCACTAGACAGACCTAAACAAGCATACACCCCAACAAACAAACAAACAATCTTACACACAACCGCATACAACTCATACAAACAAAGTATACAGCCCGACTAACATACAAACGGACAGACGTGTATACACACTCACAAACATACAAACAAATAAACAAACCCAGAAACAAACAAACATTCAAACAAACAAACAAACAAACAATCTTACATACAACCGCTTACAACTCATACAAACAAAGCATACAGTCCTACTAACATACAAACGTTCAAACATACAAACATGTATACACGCTCACAAACATAAAAACGAATAAACAAACCAACAAACAAATATTTAAACAAACAAACAAATAAACAACAAAACAACCTAAAATTTGACCGACAACAATCAGACGTTCAAAAATTTAATCCGAGAGAAAAAAACTATTCAAGATTTTATAGGCGAATAATCGCTGCACAAGCAACGTAAAGTGATGACGATGATGACGATGATGAAGATGATGTTCGTGATGATTATGATGTTTATTGTTGAGTGTTGTGCTATGTTCGGATTTCTGATTGAGAATTACTAGCGACCTAAGGTAAAAAAAACTCTAGAGAAGAAAACATGAAAAATGTGAGAGAGCGAAAGAGAAAGAAGGAGAGAAAGAGAAAGAAATGATAAAAAGGAAGAAAGCAAAAGAGAGAGAGTGAAACAGAAAGAAAGGGGAAGATAAAAATAAAATAAATGAAATATAGTAAAAAAAATTATAAAAAAATAGGAAGAACGAGAGAGAGAACGAGAGACAGGGGAGAGAAAGATAAGGAAAAAGAAAAAAGAGAGAGAGAGAAAGAAAGAGAGAGAGGAAGAAAGAGAGAGAGAGAAAGAGAAAGAGAGAGAGAGAGATTTAATTAAGATTTGTATCTTAAGCTGTTTATTGTCGCAAACTGCAAACTCTTACTTCCTATGCAAATATCACCTCAGTTTTTCCTTGGACACAGACCAATGAAACAAAAACCAATAGCACCTGCTTCGAACCTTTTTTGTGTAAATAATCAGAAAGTATCTTAAGATTTATAGGAAAGAATTTGTGAATGACTGAACGAATGGGTTGATGAATGAATGAATGAACGAACAAATGAACGAACGAACGAACAAACGAATGAATGAAGGACCGATTGAAAGAATGAATGAAGGAATACACCAAAGAATGAATGTTTTGGTTCATTAATCTTACAATTGTAGCATTGATATAATGTTTTTCTCTATAGAAAAAACAAAAATAAAATGGAAATAGGTA